AATAACATACGACCCAAACAGCATTTCTCAGTTGTGGATACCTTACTTTGCGTGTACATATTTTCAACATATCTAGAAGTCTTTTCTTGTTATCTGGAGTTATCAGACCACAGGAACTATACAAAGTAATTTAGGGGTCCGACCGGCTTCTGATATATCATGCATCAGTCCGGCGTACCTCACCGTTTTTCTTCGATGGGCCTGTTGTATATTGGTTTCAAATGGGATTTTTAACTCAAATACTAGTATTTCCTTTTTTCTAAAATTATATCCCACATTACGATACATTCCCAATATATCAAACGAAACCTCAAAACTGCTTTAAAAGGTATCTAATTCATCACCAAAATAAAAAAGAGTGCAACCACTAACATAACATGAACAAGGAAAAACCTTATCGTGAAAAGAAAACAAAAATATTACAGGTACGTGTATTTTTCTTGCTATCGTTGAACAAAATAAACAAATCATAAGAAAAATTTTAGTTTTTGAAAAATGAAGAATCATAGTTTTGTTTCCGTTTGCTATGGTATATTTGCTATGATAATATGTATTTTTCTATGTATAGACTATTACCCCCCCCCCCCCCCCCCATTTTTGTAGAGGTTTACTAATATATATAAAAATCTTCAAACTCGCACTTCATGATTTCGTATTATTCAGAGTCTCCCTGAAAGAAGGAGACCCAAGTTTGTTAGTAGATTTCTTAAGAATTCCAAATTAATTATTAATAATGTACACATCATTTGCATCTGCAAGAAAGGTCCTTCGTGAGTGCACTGAGCTCTCTACGTGTTATATGATGGAGAAATGAGAAGACGCTTAGTGTATCGCAATAACGACAGCATTAAAAGAAAATCCGCCCTGGATTACCGCGTCACGTCTATCAAAACGAGGCTGTTGCTGGATCCTATGACTGTTAGAACAAGTATTAACATTTTTAATTAACTTGGTTAAAATTTTAATCAACCACTGATTACCATATGAATCACACAATCGTTGGTTAAACTTTAACCAGCGGCCTTTTGATTAAAATTTAATCCGTGGTTGATTAAACATTTTAATCCATGATTATTTGTTAAACAAATTTGCTCAATGTTGGTTAAAATGGTGTTGACTAAACTTTAACCATTTGTTGATTAAAACTTTAACCTTTTGTTGGTTATTTATGTTTTGTTCAGGGCTGATTCACATGATGTTGGTTAAACTTACATGGGTCGTTGGTTAAAATTGTAACCATTGTAGGTTATTTCTGCTTTGATTAATTCACACGTTGTTGGTTAAACTTTAGTGGGTTGTTGGTTACAGTTTTTAACCACTGTTGGTTACACTTACGGGGGTTTGGAGGTCTTATCCTCGTGTTTGCAGGTAGGAAATTGTTTTAATATGATTATCATCAATGCTAAAATTGTAAGGAAGAAGTGAAATAAGGTCCTTGCTCAAATTAAAAACGTTTTGTGTCCAGGGCCCGTACTAGTTGTAGCTCAATCAGTATTCAGTAAGTGTAACGGATGACCTACCCAAATTGCATGCATATTCAAGACGTTTCACTTCATGATGATAATTAGATTTTTTTTTTAACATAGGTCTAGTCATCATTCATGCATGTAATTTAGGTAGGTAATCCGTAATAGGCCTACATTCCTCTTTCTTTGGGTCCGTGCCTCCTTCACAGTTGAAGATTCTTGCAGACTGACGAGTGTGTGTGTGTGTGCTAATACGAGAGCCAGGTGCATTGTGCAATGATCATTACTAGCAGGACCCGTGGAAAATCCACGGGATTCTAGGGGAGGGGGCCAAATAGATAGATAGATAGAGGCCTATGTGCTATCCAAAAAAAATTTAGATTATCTTTATATAGAGAATTTTTATAATATATGCTGTTTGACCATGAATGGCGCATCGTAAAACAAACTATGTCAGATAGGATCTCGATAATTACTATTTATTTGCATTATTATTGTTGTGATTTCAATGTAGTTTCATAAAAAGACTACATATGCAGAGGCTTGGATTATGATTATGTTGGCATTGTTCACAAAATGTGTATAATTATTTTCAAAGTAAAGATTTTACGCGAAAAATTGGACGGTTTGTGCACAAATTGACTCGACTGTGTGTGGGACTGTGAGCGTAGAATCCAGTGAAAGATTTTTTTCGGGGACTCGATCTATATCAAATTTTGGGAAAATTTTGGAGGGCTACTTTTTTTTATCTTTCGGGGGCTCATTTTTCTTGGGCTAATTTTTCATTAATTCATTTAAAGATGCAGTTTGTTTAGTTTAGTAGCGTAGTGTTACGTAAAAAAAGGCGTACTTTCTGCGTCAAGTTTCTACGCCGAAAGTACGCGAATTTTGTTAAACATATTAAATTGTTTGCGTCCCTCAGGGTATAGTAACGTAGGCCAGCGTACTCTCAGCTCAGCGTAGTTGATACGCAACTCTACTATGGACCCCACGCCAATTAGTGATCGACCTGCCAGTGTCACAAATAAGGCATTAAAAATATGCTCATCTGACCGTAATTAAATGCCTAAAACCCCTGAGCTTTCGGGGGTTCAGCCCTTTGTACCCGTGGACACCACGCCTGCACTCAAATCGCTTTGAGTTTATACCTAACCCCCCCCCCCCCCCCCCCATATTTTAAAAATTGATTTGACGCAAGAACTGTATCATACTAAAAGTATTATCATGTTTTTAAACGACCATGACGACCGTCTGATTTTCTTGTGGAAACTTTACTTTGAAAAATGATTATCGAAATTCAGTATACAACTATACATGGCCAGAATAATCACAATCCAAGCCCAGGTTTCATACATCTATTCACGAAACTATATTGAAATCGGGGCAATAATAGCAATTTCAAAGTGTTGTTTAGACTCTCCTCACACCACGGACAGACCTGGCTACTCCGGTCACCGCGCCGCTACTCCACGCTCACACACTCAGCTCCGACAGCACCCCCGACAGCAGCGCTCAGCTGCCGTGGCAATACACTGTGGACTCAAGGCAGTTTGCAACTGAACTGTCACGTGAAGGCGTACTATCACAGATCTATTTGCGCTATTCTTGTTGTGATTTCGATGTAGTTTTCATGAAAAGACCAATAAAACAGAAGCTTGGGCTATGATTATGTTGGCATAGATCACAGAATTTGTATAATTATTTTCAGAGTAAAGATTTTACGTGAAAATAGGTCCATGGTTTGCGCCAGTTGTCGCAATCGCCTCGACTCGACTCGACTGTGGTGTGTGCATGTGTGTGACCTGAGAGCGTGTAATACACGTACACTGTGGGCGCCTGGCCTACAAATCATATCCTATAGAAAGACGCATAACACGGGTACGCTCAACCCGTTGAGCGTACATATTGGCTACATCCCATCACCCGGGTGAGTCGTCTGTTGATGTGTATTTCTCTTACACGCTACAAAGCCAATCCTATAGCAAGAGGTCTTACTCGGGATACGCCGCAGCCTTTTACAATAAGACTTGCTACACCCGTTGACGCGAGTGGATTCTCGTCCATCGTGTGTCTCTTCGTCTCTCTTTGATAATTAGACAGAGGGCGGGTGCACGCCTTGCGGACTCGCTCTCGCGGGTTCGTCGCCTCCTCGCAATCCACGACGCCCGCCGTGCTCTCGTCCGCCCGTCCTCCCCGGCACCCCGAAACCGCGTTTAACGGCGTGGACGTCGATCGCGGGGTCGAGGTGGCACGCAAGTTACGGGAGACAGGCCTCGTGGAATTGTGCCGCCCTCCCCGCGCCACGGCGGAGGCGGGCGGGGTCGGGGAAAGACGTTTTTGAGGAACCGTTTTGTACCCGTTTGGACCCCCCGCGGCGATTTTGCGTATTAATAATATAGATACTTTACTGGTTGAGCTATGTACAGCCTAACGGGATACAAATCGTTTTTGATTTGAGCAAGAACCTTATTTCACCTCTACCTTACAATCTTAAAATTGATGATGATAATATCAAAATAATTTCTTACCTGAAAACACGGAGATAAGACCGTCCAAACCCCCATTTCCTTAGCCTATAATCTAGGCGGAGTGCCGAGCTTTTTTCTTTGCTGCTAGACTAACCTTAAGCAGAACGTCTGATACGGCGAGACTACGAACCGCGACTCACGGTTTGTAGTCTCGCCGTATCAGACGTTCTGCTTAAGGTTAGTCTAGCAGCAAAGAAAAAAGCTCGGCACTCCGCCTAGATTATAGGCTACCATTTCCTTAGCGTCCTCGCGACAACCTCCATTGTTAATTTTGTCGCACGCGTAGCATGTACTTTGTGTACTTGTAATAATAATAATAAAAACGTTACTTATAAAGCGCTTACCACCGAAGTCTCTAAGCGCTATACACACAAAATAGACTGATATACAATTACATCTTATACAAAACTAAAAATGCAAATAAACCTACAAATAACAATACATATGGAATACACATCTAAGTGAACAGAGATAATTAATCATCGAACGCAATTTTGAATAAATGTGTCTTGAGACTAGTTTTGAATAGGTTAACGGTTTGACAGTTTTTTACATTTAAAGGTAATTTGTTCCAAAGTTCAGCAGAAGCTTTGCGAAAGGAGCGATTACCATAAGAGAGAGTTGACACAGAAGTAGATACAAGGTTTAATTGTGAAGATGACCGTAAATTGCGTGAGGGTTTGTATTCCTCGATTAATTCTTGCAGATAAATTGGTGCCAATTCATGAATGCATTTGTAGCTAGTGTATGTATTATGTCGAGCGATCGCTAGCTACGCGCTTCCATAATCGTTCCGGTGGGTCACGTGACCAGTACTTTATTCAACATTGATTAAACTTTAACCGAAAGGGGGCTATCTTTACTGTCAGAATTTTGTGTGTAATCCATGCTGGGTTACAATGTTTGCCAACGACTTGGACTTACCAACATAGGTTAAAAGGAATAGTTTTGATCAACACTGTTTTAACCAACGCAAGATTAAAAGTAAATTTTAATCAACACTACATTTTTAACCATGGTCGAGTGTTTTTTAATCAACATTTTTTTAACCCGCAGTTTTTTAATACTTGTTTTAACAGTGTGGTACGTAAAGGAGACGATTCGGAGAATCGCATCCAGGATCAGTGACCAAGCCTTTTGTGGACATCTCTATGACTTTTGCTGCGAGTTCTGCCGGTGTCAGGTTGGGATTGTCAGCCAGAAGGATAGCAACAGCACCTACATCATGTAAAACAATGGAGTTCAAGAATGATTAACAGTGCCTATGTTTTAAAACAATGACAAATTTTAAGGGATTACATAATTTGTTAAGCATCACCTTTTTTCAAAACGAAGAGAGAAATTTAGGGTTTTGAAATGTTTGGCAACGCCTATTTTGAAAATATGGACTTCTTGTTTTTTTTTTGTTTTTTTGTTTTTTCATCATTAAGTGAAAGAGTACTCACCTGTGACGTGGGGACAAGACATTGATGTACCACTGAATGTTCGTGTCTCCTCTATACCTCCGATATATGCACTTGGGATGTCCACACCAGGGGCAAATATATCCACACACTCTCCATAGTTGGAGAAATAGGCCCGTTCATCGTCTACAGCTGTAGCCCCGACAGTTATTACCTGCAATAATTAACAGAAGCGATCGATCGAGACCAGATTAATACATTTAGTCACATTTGTATAGCGCTTGATAACTTGTTACAATTACAATGTAATTATTAATACCCGGTTAATTATTTAAGTTTCAAGTTATTTATTTCACTTAATCAAAAATATCATAATTGAACATAATTAGCAATGATAATCATTATAACTAAACATACAATATAGAAAACATAATGTACATGATAATAGTTATAACAGAGAATACAATCATATAAATCAATCAATAAAGTGGGGGATCTACTAAAAAGAAAAGCTTGTATTATGTAGGTCCCGGTTCATAGGTTGTGTATAAATAAGGGTATCTGAATTAACATATTTACAAAAGCATATGATTACACGAGGGTTATCTTTAAGTGACACATTTTACTGAACATATCGTAAACAATTGGAGAAAAAAAAAGGAAGAGTACTGTGCTTTCCTCCGCATAAACAAATATATATATATATACATTAAATAAAATGATCAGTGCTAATTTTAGCACTACTTTTGCGGAGGGAAAGAATAATTGCAAGGAAAAAAATTCAGAAAAGAGAACAGGTACGTAAGGAAAGATGAATAACGGTGCACACGCTCTGCTCCCGGGGGAGTATTCCCATGGGGGTATTCCGGCGTATCCTACCGGGTTTCCATTAAATACATGGGTAGAGAGAAGTAATGAATGCCTTGCTTATATCAGGACTTTCAGTGCCGTGTCGAAAGTCGAACCAACGACCTACGCATTTCCACTCGGCCTCTAAGGAAGGTGTTACGATTGCATGTTCTACAAAAAAAAACTATTACCAAGATGAATATATGAACACACACGTAAATGTGCATATCCTTTTTTCTTTGTGTACATGTATGGCAAATTAGGGGTTTTTCGGGGGAGGGGCTGGGGCCACTTCTTTCAGTCCCATCCAGCCCCCCCCCCCCCCCCTTTCCCGTTCACCTTCGCCCGACTAAGATTGGATGGACCCACCTGTTCGACCCCGGCAGGTGAGTATCGGCATGCATCATCATCGGAGTTACCAGCGGATGCCACTATAGTGATCCCGGCATCGATAATGAGAGACTTCAGGGCATCATCAAATGCATAGTTGCGGCCGCCTCCAAGCGACATGGATGCTACCGCTGGCTTTTGGCCAGATGTCGCCACAAAATCAACACCTGAAGTGAAAATGAGATGATAATAATAAACTTTTAAAAAATAATTTTGTATACAGTCAAATATGTCTCGTTGGCCACCTCTCCATCTCTTCATAAAGGCCGTCTGTCTTTAGTGGCCATGTGTTTTGTCTCATTCAAGAAAGAAACTGTTGTACATTGCGTATACAAAAAAGTGTACCCAACTTTAAAACTTTAAAAATGTATAACCATATATGACCTTGAATCATATTCAAAGGGAAAGCGTAACTTATACCCTGTGTAATGATACCATATTCATATTTGAGCTGCCACGTATGACTGAGCAGCAGGTTTTTCAAAAAGTATTGTCAAAATCCTCTTGTACCAAGTTTGAGCAAAAGCAATATTATTTACATTGACCGCCAGGCAGTTAAAATGCTTATGACAAGCAAAATGTAGGACCTTCTGTTCATTAAATATGATTACAATCTTGACTTCATTCGCATCCCTTGTTTCTTCTCATTAGTGAATAAAATGGATTAAACTGAGTGTCAAATTTGAAAGAACATGAAATTTAAATGAAAACAAAATTCATCATTGTTTGATCAAAATCTGTTCAGAGATGCTGAAATATCCATAAATAAAACAATGTCTAATATGTGTAGGGCCCCACAAATATTCGATAATTTTGAACCAGCCGTTGAAAAAAAGAGATAGCGCCTTATACGTTTTATTCCAGCCAATGCCAATATTGGCTTTGTAATCTTTTTCGTGTTGGTTTATAATACGCACAACCAGCCAGCCCGTGTATTGTTATAATTAATTAACGAACTGTCTCCGTGTTTTTTTAAAGTGGAGCTGAATTGGTATGATCGTATTTTATTTAATTTTTTTTTACATATTTTGGGGTCTAAAATTACCTTCATAGCAATTTTAAGTTCCTAAACGAAAACTAGAAATGTCATAACTAAAAATAAGAGCAATCACCATGCACTTTGAAGACATTTGCAGTCTTAAACAGAGCGCTTAGAGACTGTAGAGCGCTTAGAGACTTCTGATAAAGCAAATTCAATTCAATTCAAAAAGAGTTTATTCATCGAATGATTAGCAGCCAAAGGCTGAATTGCACATTTGTTACATTTAAAGATATACAAAATAAATTATTGAAAATAGATACATACAAACAAAATTGCAAAGTGCACGTTACAAACCAATAGTAAATGTTAAAAGTTTAAAAAGTGATGAGTGGCAGTGGGCATTCTCGTGGTGATGGGCACACATGTCCAGGAGGTGGGCCCCTTCCCCTTCAAAAAAAATAATTCATCAAACGACCCCCTCCCCCCTATAACTATAACTAGATCCGATTATTATTATTATTATTATTAAACAAGAACTTATTCGCTATTTGAAATAAACACCCTATGCTCCTTATGAGTGTGATCAATGCCACAGCAGACCAGTGAGCAGAAATGGTTTAGCTATGAGACAAGAAGTTAGTAGGCTGTTCAAAATAATTCATAGATTGAAACAAGGTTCTGTGAAAGCCTAGATACAATGCATAATTCTAAACAATAAAGAACTGAAGCACGAGGCATAATTCAACTTTTACAAGGATTTAAGCCACAGAGGTACATGCATATGACCTGACTCACAGTCGTTCCATCAGCCCAAACTTGGAACAAGGCAATTTGGACAACACCTTTTACAGACCCTGGTGCTCAGACACCCGTGGAAGAAATATCATGAATATCATTGGACAGAAAAAAGGTTACTCATTCTATGAAATAGATTTTGAAGTCATATTGGTCATGACTTTTTAATTAGGAGCTACCGAAGTTGGGTACACTTTTTTTGTATACGCACTGTATAACCTCTCTAAGAAGGCTACCTGTCTGCAGTGCCACTGTTTTTCTTCTGTTTCCCATGGGTGATCTTAATAGACAGGTTTGACTGTATAAATATGTGATTTTCGATTTAACATGTTTAATATCCCTATCAGCTTCAAACACGATCAAAATGCCTCGTTAGTCACTTTCTGAAATGTGCGTACATAAACATTATTTCTACGGAGAATTCGATAAGGTATCATTTGAAAATGCCCTTGAGTTCATTTATTTGTGTATTGATATATACACTCACGCGCAAACGCCCCCCCCCCCACACACACACATATATATATACTGTTAAAGCATGTGTATGCTACTATGCGTGTCAACTAGAAGACCTACGTCCCTGTCTACGTCCTTAAGTCATAACTAACAGTAATGAGGATTAAAGATACCATGTCCCTTTTGCAGCCAACATAAAATTCTGTAGAACTTTGCAGGAATTATGAATATGTCATATATGTCTTATCTGTGAAATTTAAACGTTAGCAGTGTCCTAATATTCAAATTATTCAAGGAAACCCGTTTACTTGCTAGACTTCACTGTCAGACACTATTGAGTGACTGACTTGGTTTTTTTTGGTAATAACATACATAAAATAGTTATAAAGGGTACATGAGCATTTTTATAGATCAATAACCCACTTCTTATAATGGCCAAAATTAAATTGATTGAATCTTTGCGCAGCACAAAACGTACGACCATTCGGTACAATGGTCTAAAAATCAGACTATTACTTACCGACTTGGTAGCACTTAAGTCGATTCGACAACAATTAGTCGTTACTTTCCCACTTAGACATTTTCAAGCCCCCCCCCCCCCCCTCATTTTTTTAAAGAAAGTTCTTAATTAGTATTTTCTTTCAAATGCCGTTGGAATTTAATCTTTTCATTTTTTGACCTGCAAAGCGGGGGATAGGGTAGGGGGCAGCCCCCACAAATAAAAGCAAACACAAAAAATGCCTTGTACAATAATGCACGACCGTACAGAGGAATTTTTCCTCTTGAGGACCGGGGGAAAATGCAATGAATTATTGATAATTTATTGCACTTCGTTTTTTATTCGTGGGGGGCTGCCCCCTACCCTAGCCCCCGCTGCGTACAGTCATGATTCAATGGCAAAGCAATAGCCTCATAACCGTGAGGCCCCATGACCATAACCGTGTCGATGTGCTATATTAGTGCCCTTTTGCGAGGCATTAATCCTCATTATTGTCAGTTATAAAGGACGCAGGTCCCCTAGTTGATATTAAAAAGCATAGTAGCGTGCACATGCTTTAGCAGTCACGCAAAACAAACGCTCGAAAAATAATATTCAATACAATCTGAGAATGTATACTATTATCTAGATCTATTAGGAATAAATCATTTTCAAAATCATTCCATAAATTTGGGTGAAAAAAAATATTCCACCTTTATGACCAACAGTGTATTTTTGTATTTATATAGATATATGACTACACATTTGAATTACGTACCTGCAATGACCCCGCTCGTTGAGCCAGTTCCATCACAGCCTAATACCTTTACACCAAACAGCTTGACATCTTTGGCCACTCCGTACATGTTACTCCCTACTGTCCCAGCACAATGGGTTCCATGACCTTGACAGTCAATTCCCTGTGGAAAAAACAATAATAACCACGGTAATGTCAACCACATCAATCTACCTGGTCGAAAATACATTCGTGATGAGATTTTACATTAAATTCAGGAATCGATCATGAATAATCAAACGAAATCGGGAGAATTCAGAGGCTAATTTGCCACAACAAGCAGGGTAAATAGTATAGATTTATTGACTGCTATGAGAGGCATCGCTGTTTCTATAGGCGCATGGGGACGTTACATGCCGCTAGGTCATCGGCAGGATGTAACGTCCCCGAGAGCCAGTATAGAAACAGTTATGTTTCAAATATTACAGCAGTCCATGCAATCATAAATCTTTTATATACCGAATTTCACAAACAAATCTACAAAGAATTCTTATCTTATCCTTTTCTTGAGTAAAGACTGGTTAAAACATCACAGAAAATCTGAGACAATGTCTGTAAATCTTTGCTAGAACTGCACTGTATTTTGTATCCGCGCTCACACAAAGAAACTGTTTACACGTAAACCAATGGGGATTTCCGCAAAATGTATTTATGCGGCCCGTTACCCGGGGCAACGGGTATCTGTAAAACAAAACTAATGACCTGTAGGCGGGCATGCGAGCATATTTTTTTTTTTAATTATTGACCAGTAGGCGGGCATGGCTAAAATTACGACTCCAATTTCGACCAATCAGATGGCTAGATTTCTAAAGTTAGGTATATAATAAAAATTACCCCACTCTTACGTCACATATCACAAATAAAGTAAAAATTGTTGCTCTTCTGGATAATGTTTGATCTCGTATAGTAACCTTCATAAATCCATAAAGAAGATACTGTCCATAAAGGATATAAGGAATTAAGTATTTAATGTAGCCCAGTAAACATGGTCTATAAGATAATTGCAAGTGTTCCTAAGCCGAATACATGAAATTCCGTGAGAAGGCCTGAAAAGTCAATTGGATTGCATCACATAAATCACTTTTGAATAAAACCAATATTTCAATTAGCCCAAATTTTCTGAACAGATACACAACAGAACGGCCTTCTTTTTTTTCTTTTTTTTGGTCCTTTTTTAACAGTTTGGTTCGAAAATGTTATCATGGAAGAGGTCGATTGGCTGGAAAGCTCTCCAGAGGAGTGGAGAGTATGCACTGCAAACTGCAGAGTCGCAATTAGTCCAGTGACTGGGGTAATAATAATAATACTGTAGCGCTTTGGTCGGTTAAGTTTATTATTACTATTATTATTATCATTACTATTATCATTATTATCGTTTGCAGTGGTAGTAGTAGAAGTATGCATGAGAACACTTACGTAATCCGCATCACCAACACTATCAAAGGCAGCCACGGCTCGGCCTTCAAAGTAAAGACTATCTGGAGCGATGCCAGTGTCGATAACATAGACGTTAACGCCTGTGCCATCGCCTATGGGGAGGCGGCCGGAAGAAGACAGGTTGGGAGAAAGAGTTTGATTAATTATAAGTAAATCGTTACAGCACGTTTGTTATATTGGGTAAAACAGAACAATGCATTCAAGGTAATTTACTGGTAATATACAATACTTTATTTGAGATTTTCTCGAATTATCAATTAACTCTTTCTGTTGATATTTGTTCTACTTCAACTCAGAAAACCATAATCAAAATTGCTGAGAAATATAATTATTTATAGTATAAGTAGTCTTTATCGAACAACCGACCTACACATTATCTTCATAGATGTACAGTCATTCAGTTCACTGACGGATATAGGGCCACACATATCATTGTGCACCTCTAGTATTAAACATTTCCCCTCAAAATATGATAACCTTTCATTCGGTTGTCAGGGATTCTTGGAGTAAATCAGCATCTAAGAAACGAGCTATATCCTATTTTCTTTCTACTTGTTGATTATAAAAATAAAATAATCAAGGCACATATAGAAAATGAATTCAAGAGCCTGGAACCACAAATTCTCATTTAGATTGTTTTAGGACCTCGTCTATTTTACTTGTCAATTCCCCCCCCCCCCCCCCTCGAAACTGTGACCCCTTTTTGTTTTTATCAAACCTTGAAGCCGACCTTTATTCGAAGTGGAGAATAAGAGAGAAAATATGCGTTTCAATTATGTCTTAGATTCATTAAAAACATCTCCAAACATTTTCAAATATTTTTTTTTTTAAGATTATAAACTTAAATTATTTCTTACTTTCTTGTGACTATCTATGATTGAGTTGTGAATTGTTATTAATTACCTGAAAACTCTGCTTTTCCATTTAAAGGCAACAGTCTTTGGTCAACACGATCTAAGCCCCAGGATGCAACAGCTGATGTACGGGCGACGCCATCTTGGGTTATGTACTTTATTTCTTCTCTGGCTAGCAGCTTTAAAAATGGATATATGATTCAGAGGTATTAATACAGCTGATATGAGTGAACCTGGTTACAATAAATCGAGTAACTGTTACTAGAGATCGATTTTGTTGAGCACTATGTATTGATAAGGCAAACTCTAAGGTGAATATCGTCAAACTTATTGTTTTATCTCTCATCTGACTAGCAGCATAATATATTCAATTAATGGCTTTTAAAGAAGATTACACATTATATATATAATTGAGGCTCCTTTACAAGAAATCAAATTTATATTATCAAGGGTCAGAGTTGTAAAGCAAGACGTTTACTATTATGGCAACTTATTGATAAACTTCATAATCTTCTTTTTCACAAGATTTATCTCCAGTCGTATCATCACGGTGGTTCGTTATCCCTATAACTGACATATCAAAGGGGAAAGAAACGACCTGTTCTCCATGCACGGTCTTTTAAAACAAAATCTGGCATTTCAAGTACTCAAAAGGATTAGTTTTTGCTGTTCAGATATTTTACAACACTAGAACCCAATTACCAGAATATTTGATACGCCCTTAATTCCAGTATTCTAGTATTTTTGTTATTTTATTTTTTAGCAGCTGTTTCTGCATTTATTGATAAATCAAATATAAAACATTCATATAACAATAGTATAATAATATATAATATAATTGATTTGCATAAAGAGTGACAACTTAATACACACAAATAAAAATGCATAATTGAAAGCTTGAAAGTATGGGGTTAAGTAAAAATAATCAAGATAAATGCAGAGGCCAGCTATCATAAGCAAAGATGCTTGGTTCGATAGCAGCCGGGAAGGGGGGGGGTACATGGCGCTGTTGTAGGAGTAAGTAGGTGAATAGAGAGTCTGAATAAAAAAATCGAAAGAAATTAAAGAAAGAAAAAAATATGCAAGTGTGTGCAAGTGGGTGTGTGCAGGTGAAGTAAGTGTTCGATTCGTATTGTTAATGAACTGGTCATCTAAAATTAATTTAAATAAACAATCAAAACCTCTGAGACCCTTATGATGTTTTTGAATATGTAGATATTAAATACTTTTTCATCGATGCTTTGAATGAATAAAGAGTTGCAGAGTGTTTAATATTGTCAGGTAAAGCATTCCAAATGTCTGGACCATGATGTCTTATCGATTTATAGGCCATAATAATTTTGGGGTAGGTTAAGTGGAAATCGGGTGAGTGTCGTGTGGGATAAGAGTGTATATCACTATTGTAAACAAAAATATTTCGAAATGCCAAAGGTATAGTATTTATTCAAAATTTATACATAAAGATTGCAGTTTGAAAACTGTGAAAGTCAGCGATTTTTAATGTTTATAGTTTACAAAATATTGGATCAGTATGGGCTAAATAATGTGAATGTGTACAAAGACGAAGTGCTTTCTTTTGGAGACGAAATATTAACAAAATTGTCATCTTACTACTATTACCCCACACTATGTTACAATAAGATATGTATGACAAAATGAAGGAATTGTAAATCATAAATAGTGACTTTTGTGATAGATAATATTTTAATTTATATAAAATGCCTATGCTTCTCGAGACTAGCATGCAAATGTTGTTATTATGACTATTCCAAGTTAGGTTTGAATCAATCATTACACCTAAGAATTTTGTAACTTCTTTTTCAATTATGGGCAAATCATCTATAAACATATCATAATGAAGTACATGTTTAGAGTGTATGTTTTTAAAATAAATACAATTAGTCTTATTGATATTTAAATGTAATGTATGTATTGATATACGATGGTCCATGGTATCACCTTCATTGCCTTATTGAAAATGCCTTTATTATTGTAGTTGATGTGATGATCATCCCCAGACTTGCCTTTATGATGCTCAATAATATCTAAAGCATTGCGTTCCTTACTGTTGTTATCATTTAGTGGCGGATCCAGGGGGAAGGCCGAAACGGCCGCAGCCCCCCCCCCCCCTATTGGCGGCGCAAAAAAATTGAGAAGGAAAAAAGAGGGGGAAAAAAAGGGGGGGAAGGAGGAGATAAAAGAAAAGAGAACAAAGAAGTAAAGAAGAGAGAGAGAGAGAGTTCAAAAAAGAGGAAAGAAAAAGAAGAGAGGAGCCGGGGAGAAAGAATGACAACGAAATGGCACTAAAAATTAGTGACAGTAACGACGAATAAGGGAAAGACAAGGGGAAGGGGGGTGCGTAAAGGCGGATGCATTGAGGGGAGGGGGGGAGGGGTGACTGGCCGTATTCTTATTTTAAGGTTATGCGAAACTGAGTCGAAATTATGCTTCTTTTCAAAAAAATCTTAGCATGCTTGTTTATGTTAAGCCGTAGTGCATGAAAAGGTTAGTGTAGAAACACTTCTGAAAAGGCCGCGCCCGGCCCCTCCAAAGAACTGCAGAATGGTAATCTATAAATTATGGGGTCATTCTTGATGGCTTGCGAGTCGTTAAAAGGAGGGGGCCGGCCCTACTAAAATGGTAGTGACGGTAACGATGGATAAGGGAATAAGGAGGAAGGGATGCACATGCAGGCGCGTACGCAGGGGGGGGGGGGTCGAACCCCCCTCAAATTTTTGTCAAGTTGTCAAGTTGGTCCTGATGTGTATAATGCGTAGACCAGGGGTTCTCAAACTTTTTCTTTGACGGTCCAGAAGCGATTTCTATGAGAGCTGTAAAGTCCGAAATGACACTTGTATACTGAAGAAGTGTTTCAAGAAAAAGTTAAGCAAACTTTCTCCTGGATGTAAATTCACACTAGCGTATAGCACTAGCGAGCGCTCCGATCTAGGCTAAACTCTTCGCGAGCGGTTTCATTGGAATTTTAAGCGGTTTCATTGGAATTAATCGAGAAATTCCCCTCGCTAGCGTGTAAATAAAAAATACGCCGGCCGGCCATACGTAAATGGCAGTGACGGTAACGACGAATTAGGAGGAAGGGGTGCATACGTGAACTACAAGCGTATTGGGATGATCATACTATCATTTTATAGTGTGCAATCTGGGTCGGAATCCAGCATAATATATTTATAAAAAAGAGGTTCACATAAAAGCACTCATGATAAAGCCGCGCCCGGCCCCTACAACATCATTTTGGATTTTCAGATGATGGGCCGGGTGGCAGGGGTAGGGGGCAAAGTTCGCCCGACTCTTCAAGTACCCCCCCCCCCCCCCGAAGGGCCACTTTTACTTTGTAAAGAAGTGCCCCTTTCCCCTTTTTAACTCGGATAAGCGCACATTTCATCAATACATGTGCCCCCTTTCCTATCTGATAAGGGCTATTTAGAAAAATGAGGCCCTTCATAAATAAAAAGTGTCCCTTTTCATCTCTGGTAAATGACCATTTTCATATATGAGAAGTTAATTCTTTTCACTTCAGTGCGCTCTTCACCTCCGATAATTGCCCCTATTCAAATCTGAGAGATGCTCGTTTTACTTTGAAAAGTACCCCTTCCCCTCCTGATAAGTACTCTTTTCATCTATGATGGGTGCCCATTTTCACCTTTGCTAACTGCCCTTTTATTTTGAATCGTGCCCCTTTTCCTTTCTAATAAGGGACCTATCCCCTTTTCCTAAATGCCCCTTTTCACCTCTGATAAATCAATTTCTGATGGATGCCCCTTTTCCGTCAACAAATGCCCATTTCCCATACTCATAAGTGCCCTATCTCATTTCTGGTCAGTGCCTCCTTTCAGGTGTAAGAAGTGCCCCGTTTGAACCTTTGATAATTACTCTTTGTACCTTGACACATGCTCCTTTTCTTTTCTAATAAGTGTCTTTATCCCTTTCGCACGTAGGCACGGGGGGGGGGGGCACGTGCCCCTAACCTGCTCATCATTAGTCTTGCACCTAATTTAAAGCGACTAAGAGTAATTTCCTCTAAAGCTCGCTCGCTCGCTCGCATTTATAGATGATACAATTATATGTCACTTTAAAACAAATGTTTTTTCAGTCTTCCGTGATGCTTATAACCCCATCATGATTTGGTTTTTTCCTCTTTATAAGATGTAATTTTTCACTCTGCGAGCTCACAGATCTTACATTTTTTCTCGCTCGCTTTGCTCGCTCGCAAATGAATATTCAGACAATCACACCCAGCCGAAAGTGTGATGCTTAAGCAATATCTTGTATGATATATAAAGAAAAACAAATATTGAAATCGTCCCTGATAATGGAATCACAATGAAAGGGTATATACCAATGTCTAAAAAATGTATATTTTAGCTTTGAGATTTCGCTTTGTAGGTGCCCTTTTTTGTTGGTGCTTTCCACTTTGGAAATAGCTCCGCCGCCCCTGCTTACGCATTAGCGCCAGCGTTAATTTCACGCTTGCGTGCACAGGGGGTGTCTGTATGTGTGTGTGTGTGGGGGGGGGTTCCTCTCTAGCTCTGAAGCTGATTTTTTTTTTTACCTGGATTCGTGCGATTCGGTTAATACTTTTAGAGGGAATCTGAGGGGTGATGTGCCCCCCTCTGAAGCTGACATTTTTTGGATTTTTGAAACAGGATTCGTGCGTTTTGGTTAATACTTTTTTGTGGAGTCTGATTTGATTTCAAAACACCTGCAGTTAATGCGGGATGGGGTTGCAGCCTCTCTTTCCCCGAAAATTTAAAAATTACCAATATGCATTTGTTATATCTTATCTCGTATATTTTGGTGACAATTAACACTTTTCACAACATACATAAGCTCAAATTTCCGCTCACTCACCAAATTATTAAACCAGGAAATAGATATTGGGGCAAGAGGCTTCAACCCCCACTGATGGAAATGTCAAAAAAATTGCGCGCGAGCATAACTTGAAAACGGGGAATGTTGATATCGGACAAGAGATGTGACGTGAGCGATTCCATGACATTTGCTCAGGCGACAATTGCTCCGCTGTAAATTTCATACACTAATCGAATGGCTAACTTCAACCCTGGATTCAACACTATACCCTGCCCTAAACCTAACCCTAAACCTAACATAAAACCCTATTGAAACCCTAACCCTAACCCTACATCTTAGACGAAATAAAGCCCGGAGCAATTGTCGCAGGAGCAAATGTCGTGTCACCGACGTGAGCATGTCCCCTTTCCAAAATAATTGTGCCCGCTTGTAGGTACCAGTACACTATTAAAGTACAGTGCTTCTAATATGACCTTGTCAGTATTGGTAAGTTTAAATAACGGTCTGCGCGAATTTCGAATTTCCGCCCGCCCCCCCCCCCCCCTATTGGAAAATCCTGGATCCGCGCCTGATCATAATCACGTTTGCCATTTACCTTTTCGACAGCTCTTTTGGAGAGTTTAGCTGAGAAGCCCTGAATGGCTGTGGTATACGTATGCTCGACATAAGCACCATCAAAGATTCCTGAAACGTCTTCCAAGATCAGTGTCTTGATGGCATCAGTATCGTAACCGGGCTGTAAAAGAATGATTAAAATATAAAATCATAAGATTAATAGCCAGTCTCATCTGAGCGATGAGTTAACTTCAAAGCAATTGTTCTAGATGTACTTTTAAAGAAAAAAAAGAGATCCCATAAAAAAATCTGCATTATAACTGAAGTAAGATTTATTTTTGGTGAGTGAATAAAATTGGCCGTATACACAACATGTGGCTTTGTAAAGAGGTCTCCATAAAATAGAAAAAAATGGTCACAAATTACTAGAAACTAAAATCTAGGCCTACATAATTATGATCGGCAGCAAACGGCCCATTGGCCCGATAATTTTGGTCTCCTGGGCCTTTTGCAATCTCTTTCGAGGGTTCACATTATATAAAACGACCGTCCACAACAAAGACTAACAATGTCGGCAACATTTCTGACAAAATAGAATGGTAGATTTAAAGAATGAATTGCTGTCAAATTTAATTCTAAAACAAAAGTCAATGAAAAACAGTTTTGACTGGTATTCTAAGATAATGCTTTGATTTTATGTGTATATACGTTATTGTGAACGTTTTAGATATGTAAAATAAAGTTCCCTGAAAGGGTTAAAACGAAAAGATAAAAATAATGTTGGCAAACCCAGCATGATATTATATTCCAAAAATGTACGTTCCTACAAAAATATGAACTGAGCCATTTTTTTTTTTTTTTTAAGAATCTACAACATTATGTTTCTCTCACCTGCATCACGATTATGTAGTGGTCATCAATCGACTCTTCTACCGTGTAAAATGTGGCGTTCTTAGCAGTCGCGGCGACCACAAAGGCCGACAATATTACGACGATCAACTTCATCATTCACCTTCCTACCAGCAAAGATACCAGCAAAGATACCAGCAAAGATATCCACAATAAGTTGATATTATAACTTTATTGATTCACGATGTTTCCTGCGTCTGCTAAGGTTCTGCTTTCCAGTGGCAACAGACTGATGATCCAACAAACAGCGTGTTTTATTGGTTTTTATATAGAACCCGAACAAAAACCAACAGTGACCAATTAACAAATCTTAGAGCTAAGGATTTGGGGTTGATCTTATCATCTTTACGAAGAATGAAGAGCAAGGTAAGCTTACAGGGATTACAAACCGCAACAGATACGAACGACAGGTTGTCTTGAGAGGATCCTTTCAGGATTAGAGCTAAGGATTTGGGGTTGATCTTTATGAAGAATGAAGAGCAAGATAGGCTTTCAGGAATAACAAACCGCGACAGATATGGACCCTTTCATGATTTATTGAAAGGAAAAGTAAGTCCTTGAGCCGATAGCTTTCTTTTTTAAAGGAATTCTTTCAAATTAATGGCATATCATCCCCTTTAATAAGGATTTCTTTGGATGATTATGGACCTACTTGTTTTTTGACTCCGCTATAGGCCTATTCAGACCGGCGGAACTTCCAAGGCAATCTTCTTAAACTTATATCATCTTTCAAAATCCGTAATTCAGATCGGGATCATCTTCAGTCTGATCCGATTACTGGGCCTTTACTTGGGTTCGGACTATCGGATTGCATGTGAAAATGGAAAATGTAGCTATGACCGAGCGGATTAAGGCTTAAATATGCCTTTGTTCAAGTCATGATTAGATCAGGTAGGTGTCTCCCTTTCATAAAGTGACAAAAAGTGGACAGTCACGTAGCCAGAGTTTGATGTTTGGGGGGGGGGGCACATACAAGTAATCGATGGAGGTAAAAAAAAGGGGGTCTAAAAAAGTTCAACCGATCTTGGATTTTTTTTTTTGGGGGGGGGGGGGGGCTACGTGCCTGCTGGTGGACCGTTCTCGTCAGCCTGACCTGGTTATCAGCCCTCATTATAAATATTTATTACACTTGACTGAATGCAATATAGAATAGTGCGTTTGCACTTTGCAGCTGGATGATTTAGTTTAGTTTAGTTTATTGGTAATGCAGAAACATAAAAGTATATTGGCATACAAATCATTCTCTGGCTGTTCCAATGGAAATACAAAACATGCAATATGCATGTATTAAGATAGAACAGAGTCGGAGAAACCCCCCCCCCCCCCTCAAAAAAAGGGAAACAAAAGAGAGAGAGACTAGAGGAGAGAGAGAATGAAGGTTATAATAAATACAGAAGATGGAGAAGGAGAGGGTAGAATAAAAAAGAGAATATAAAATAAAAATCATTCTCTGACTATTCCAATAAAAATACGAAATGTGCAATTAAGATAGAACATTCTTGGAGAAAACGCTCCCCCCCCCCCCCCCCCAAAAAAAGAGATTAGAGGAGAGAGGAAATGTAGGTTATAATAGAATACAGAAGGTGAAGGAGGAAACGGGAGAAGAAAATATAAGAAAGCAAATAAGAGGAAAATTTAACAGAATGAAGAAGAGATATAAAGTATCGGTGATTAATAACCGAGATATTTTCTTTTGGTTGGGCAGCTGCCTCGCTGAACCTTAGCCCCGCGTAAGATAGTTTTTAACTTTCTTGAATTTAGATTTACCGTTACGGTGAAATGTATCGCACGACGCAATACTTAATAGATTTTATCTTAACTTTTGGCCAGTAATTCTGGTCCTTTTTGCACCTTTTAATGAAGCTTTTAAACATGTAGAACTATAAGCGTCTCAGAGATAAGCAGTTATCACCTTGATACATAAAAAAGGCAAAGGTTTAGATTGTACTACAGACCGATTTCCCTATTAAATGTCGATTACAAAATTTTAATAAAGATAATTTCAAAGACATTGCAAGAAATTTTACCTGATATTATAGCTTTTGATCAACTTGGCTATGTTAAGAATAGGAACATTAAAGAAGCAATAAGAATAATAGATGATATGATTTTTCATACTTCTTTTTATTGATGGCCTTAGATTTTGAAAAGGCATTTGACTCCGTATCTCATTCACTTTTATACAAGGTCTTTAACTCATTTGGGTTTGGACCATCGTTTTGTAAATGGTTAATATTATACACTAATACTGAAAGTTGGGATACACATCAAGACAGGGGACCCATTATCTCCGTACTTATTTATTTTATGCATTGATATTTTAGCGCACAATATTATATAGAAATAATAACCTGGTAAAAGGAATTTGTTTTGGAAATACAGAAATAAAGCAAGTATTGTATGCGGATGATACAACACTCTTCATCAAAGATATGAGTTCAGTTAAAGAAAAAGATCATGTTTAGAAGGGTTTTTTTATATAAAATATCAGGATTAAAGGTGTCTAATCATACATTTCCGTTTGGGAAGCTCGCAGATGTTGTTAAAATATTAGGTGATTACTTGTCAGTAAATTTAGATATCAAGGAAGAAATGAATTATAAGGAAATATTAAGCAAAATAAAAACAAATTATTGACGTGGTGGAAAACGCGTGATTTAACATTAATGGGTAAAATTAAATTGATGAAAGTATATGGATATTCTAAATTGATTATGTAACATCACTAATGCCAGTTCCAGAGTGGGTATATAAAGAAATTGAAATAATATGTTTTGATTTCTTGTAGAGATAAGATAAAAGATAAAGATAAAGATAAAAGATAAAATTAAAAGAAGTACAATGATTTTAGACTATAAACAGGGTGGGCTCAAAATGATGCAATTTAGGTTGTTTGTAAAAGCACAAAGAATAATGTGGATAAAAAGGCTTGTAACAGGAACTCGTGCTATCAAATGGAAACATTACTCTAAATATTTAATGAGACCAATAAGCGGGAATTTAATGTTTTATTGCAAATATTGGAGAGATACAGTGAAGTTACCTTCTTTTTATCAGAATCTTCTGAAAGTATGGATATATATGAAAGAATATGTTAAAACAAAAGAGAGATACAGAGGGAATAAAATATTATATAGTAATAATTTTATTTGATTAGAAGGTCAAACTTTATTTGAGGAAAATTTGTTTTAAAAATGTATATAACGACTTCATCACATCTGTGATGAAAATGGAGAATTGAAACCTGACGCTTATTTTATAATGAAAGGTTTGAGTAGAGAGGAAATTGATAGAGTAAATAAAATGTACACAGTAGCCCATACTGAATGAAACAAAATGTACAACCTTTAAGAAAGTCAATTCAAAGTGGCTTCAGTTTAGAATTGATGTTTTCAAAGAAACTGTTTCAAATTAAGAAAAATGTAGAAACAAACTCGGCAGGCTGCAATTTAATGTCACTTTATAATATTTCAAGAAGAGAGGTAGAAAAGATATTTATTTTACCAAGGATGTGTATCTTAATCAGTGAACTGTGAGAATTTCAGTTCAAACTGTTGCATAAGATTTTATATACAAATAAGCATTTACATATATTTAGGTTTCATGAAAATGGGTTGTGCTCATTTTGCAAAAATGTTGAGGAAACTTATCAGCATGTAGTGTTTGAATGTAAAACAATAAAGGAAGTCTGGGGGGGGGATGTGCAGATAGACTTAAAGACCGTCACCACTACTGGGCAAGAAGGGATTAGACCACACAGCGAGCCAGCGAGGTCTATGTGACAGGTGGCTATCTCATTAACTCAGCTCTCATTTAACATAAGAAAAAGAGGATCATGGGGGACCAACAGGCACCGATTGGGGAAGTTTTCTATATAGAGTGAGCAAGTAGCTACAAGTATGGCAGTGTGCCTTTAAAGGAAACCAAAACCTTCATACTAAGTTACTTTTATTGTAAAGTTTAAAAGATTTGAATAAAATCAGTGAAAATTTGAACAAAATCGGGCAAGGAATAAGAAAGTTAGAGCATTTTGAAATGACTAGTCACTAGAGGGCGGTATTCAATTTGATGACATCATCTGTGAACAACTCTCCATGCCTTTTGTACATAAAATTTCACAATTTTTTTGTTTTCTTCGTATTTATTTGTGTTCTTGATCCGACTTCAAGTGAAGTAGAATATCATTTTGCATTCTATATCTTGCTTTCAGGGGAGTACATTATCTCAATCACAAGAAAGAAGGAAAAACATGAAATTTGATGTACAAAAGGCATGGAGAGTTGTCCACAGATGATGTCATCAAATTGAATACCGCCCTCTAGTGACTAGTCATTTCAAAAAGCTCTTACTTCCTTATTCCTTGCCCAATTTTGTTCAAATTTTCACTGATATTTTTCAAATATCTTAAACTTTACAATAAAAGTAACTTAGTATGAAGGTTTTGGTTTTCTTTAATTTACCAATTCTGAAGAAATTATCCTGGAAATAAATTCATATAGGAATAGATGACAGTAACATAAAAACAGAACAACAAAGAACCATATTTTGATTAAATATATGATTTTCTACAGTAGAAAGAAGGGAAACCCTCCAAAGCAAAAGAAATAGAAGATAGATAGATTATTGAAAAATAGAAATGAAGAGAAAAAAATTTCAGTGTAAAGGGATACCTTTCAATTCATTTAGCGAAATGGGAAGCCTTGGAAAGTTTTGAATAAATGTTTTTTTTTCTTCAATATACTTCTTCTCGACCCTCTTCTCTTTTCTACCCTTGCTTTTGTTTGTTCGTTTTATGTATGTGTTTTGTGTTGTTGTTGTTGTTGGGGGGGGGGGGTTGTCCCTGCCATCAGGTGTTTAAGTGTTGTGAGGGGCGGAGGGGGGGGGGTAGTAGGTGCTCTCTTTCTATTTCTTCTTTTATCATGCATTTTTATTCCTTCTTTTTATCATAACCCTATTTGTCTCTTTAAAGAAAATTTTGAATAATTATTTTGGAAAAGACAATAAATAATTGGAAATCTATATGCAAGCTGGACGAGGAAATTGTAAAAAGTAATGTGCGATTTGTTTAAAATGTGCAACTATAATTTCGTTTACCGGTATGTGAATATTTTTCTTCTGTAAATGTGTAACTTCATCTGCAAATATATTTTATATGAACAGTTTATTTGTAACCTTATAGGTAAATGTTCACTTGCAAAGTTGAAGATTATTTGTGATTTTGTATAATAATGTTGTAAACTATACGAAATTTTCTTTATGAGAGGAAAGAATCAAAATCTATGAAAACAAAAATAGACATAGAAATTACCAGCATCATATAGGTCGAAATTACAAATTAAATGGCATTGCAACCGACCAATTACAATTCATGAAAATAATGCAATCATAGATAAAGTCATGAAAATAATGCAATCATAGATAAAGTGCCTTCATTATTCACACGTTTGGCAGGCTTCATGTACGCAATATTACTTCAATTATTATATTTGGAGAAATACTAGCTAAAAGATACCTTTAGCGTTAATATTTACGATTCCTGGTTCTTTTGGCTATTATGCGTGAGCAGATTTACCATCTTTCTTCGTTCTTTCTTTATTTTCTCTCTCTCTCTCTCTCTCTCCTCCTCCTTAGTCCCTTTCGCTCGCTCCCTCCCTCTCTCTTTGTCTGTATGTCTGTCTCACTCTTTTTGTGTGTGTGTGTGTGTGTGTGTGTGTGTGTGTCTCTCTCTCTCTTAGTTGTCAAAGGCAGTTACACACACAAGAGTCATCATTAGTTCTTTCTCTACCCCTCTCTATCTTGAGCCTTCTTCTTCTTCTTTATTATGTCATATGATTTGTCACCTTTCAAGTCTGACACCATCCAAATTATCAGTCTACCTCTCTCTCTTTACCATTCATGTTCACTTTCAAGATGTCCCCTCCCGAGCATGCTTTCCCCCATAAATATGTCCCATCTAGGTGTTTCCTCCATCTCCACATTCCATCCATATCGTACTACAACATCTACATGTACAACAGTGCTGCTCCTCAATAGTTTATTATATATTTACAAATCTACGTTCGTTATTTCAATCTACAAAATATGACGACATATGCTTTATTTTTTATTTAACAATGATGATGATAAATTTTGTTTGTACAATACAGCTAACTAGTTACATTTACTCTGTATTATTGATATCACATACGTATGTTGTGTGATTCCCTGTTTTAAAAAAAGCAAAATATTCCTTGTTAGTTGACATGAAGGTCCCAAGCCTTCAAAGCATTCAAAATAGATAGAAAAACATTCAATCATACTTATCTAAATCAAGCACACTAACAAGAGCAAGAAGAAAGAACAGAGAGAAAGATATTGAAAAATAATACAAAAAGAACAGAACATAGGCAAGTGATAAAAAACAGAAATATCTGAACAACAACAAAAATGAACATTATATAACAGATCTTAAGCCTACAAAAAGCACAAAGCTTGTTACACTATCATAGAATTAGCATTAGCATAGCATTAGCTTAAATCTTCGATAGGGATTCCTTTGGATGAAATAGGCATAGGTACTTGTTCTTTTAATCCGTGATAGGCCTATTCAGACCGGAACGTTCTTTAACATGGTTTTAAGAAACCTCCAAAGCCAGGAATCTCCTTGATTTAATTAAACTTATAGGCCCGAATTCACAAAGGAGGTTTGTTGACAAACCTTGGTTTTCGTACGTCATATGACGCATTTTACACGTTTTTACAAACCTGGTTTGTAAAGAACAAACCTCGATTCAGATCGGGATCATCTATAGTCTGATCCGATTTCTGGGGCTGCCTTGGGCGGGATACTGAATGAATAAGTGATTTATCGGATTACGTGAACGTCAGAGTGAGAGAATTAGTACACATAAAGGAATGGATAAGCGATATCGGATTATATCGGATTCGAGTCCCGCCGTGGCACTAATGTCCTTTGGCAAGACATTGATCTACATTTGCCATACTAAACCCAGATGATGTAAATGGGTACCTGGCACGAATTAATTCCTTGAAATGCTGGAGCGCTGTATAAACGGCTGCTAGGCTAAAGCCGGAGTAATAATAAATGTGCCTCGGAATAGAATTATCTAGATATCTGGCGCTATAGAAATGCCTTTAATCATTATTACTCAAAAATCAATTTCTTACCAAAGAGAGTATCTGTTGTACAAATTCCCTGGATATGGAAGTCATGGTAGTCACTACAAACCAATAAACATATTACAGTGAGGTAACACTGTTGAAGGTTGATGAAAAAACTGCGTAATTTTCGTATGAACTGTTACCTATTATATTCCTTCTACTGTACTAACCCTCTAACATGCAAAAATCCTGAAAAAACTCCCAAACCACAAAGATATTTATGGTTTTCTTTGAAGGCGTCACTGTGCGACACCATCTTACAGTAAATTCTGCCAACCGTTTTTTAATTTTCCCCACAGTTTTTCCATGTAAAGAAGACATAACACAGGCTTTTAAAAAATATTTCAACACTTAAATGTCTGGAATGGTATATATAGTCAATTCATTGCTTTGACACGATTTTCATTCACCTAAAATGTAATTAAATTGTAATAATATAGTTGGGAGAATTAAGGAATTGATCACATCAGTTTTTCCCAATTTGTATCATTAACAATGGTCTGTTTTCACTCAAACTTTCAGATTATCTTTAATTGTTCATCTACCAATGAAGTTGTTACCTTAGCACCATTTTATCTCATCTGAACAATGTTACCAAGTCCCTTTAAGAATGAGAAACATGAAGGGAGCGTAATTGAAGTAGAAAACAGATTTGTATATCTGGACAGATATGACAGACCTTTATCATTCTACCTCAATTTAAAAAGCTAGGTAAAGGGAATTACATACATAAAATTGCCAGTTTGGCCTAAAACCAAATATATAGATGCATCATGAAAAACAGTCACTGAACCAATGAACATGAAGAAAAAAAATTGTATTTTTACATGTAGTGTATTTCTTCACAAAGTCTAATATTTTAATTAATAAAACAAGAACCATGAATAAGCTTTCCTCGAGTGTGTTCAACAATATTATAGCATCAATAATTTCACACAGATGATTTTCATCTGAAATGTCCAATGTAAGAAGATACACAATTGGAGAGATAATATCAGCCCCCTCCGTTGTGGTTGTGATGGGCGCCATCGTCCGGATGGAAGACATGCATGTGGTCAGCAAACCTGTATCAAATGAAACAAACATTATCAGCAAGGTTTAAAGGCATCGTTTAACAATGTTAAATCTGAGACGCATGGCCCTACATGTCATCAGTGTTTGTGATATGGTGTAATATTGAAGCCCTAACAAAATTGCACTTCAAAATGATCATGAAGTGCCTCAAAAAAGATCAAAATCTTTGAGTGACTCATTTCCCCAATGGACTGTAGTGTTATAAGAACCATTAGGAAAATGGATTTTTAAATTTTGATTTCCAATCATAAATATCTTGATAATCAGACAGGCGATCGGCTTGTAAAAGTCATGGGGTTCCTGACTGACCTTAAGGTTTATAATTATCATTGCAGCATGAGCTAAATCTAGGATTTTGTTTCAAATTCTGAGACAAAGTTACCCAATCCCTTTAAGAGAATAAGAACAGATAGCATTCAAAATAGAACAGACATTTCTCTAAGCTGGAAGAACTCTCTCAAATGTCCAAACGCAAATGGTGCAGGTACATGTATGTACACAAGATGTTACTTATGTGGAAAGGGTGAAGGGGGTTATGAAAACATCATTCTCCGGTAACGACAGATAATTAAGCACCTCTAAACTGAAGGCCCTGGTTTTATACATGAATGATATCAAACCAAATTTCATGTAGTTACGTAGTTCATTAGCATTTCCAGAATTATTAATGAAAATATTTATAAATTTCAAGAAAAAGACATTATATGATGAGGCTACCCTAGGTAAACAAGACATATTATTACTTTCATTTGAGCCTGCACCCTCCATGAAAATAGTTGTAGTCAAGCCAACTATACACTCTTATGGCATTATATATTTGTATAATATACATCTAATCTCCTATTTTCAGTACAAATTCCAAAGCTAGATCTCACTTGCAGGTCACGTCGTGGGCCATATTATGCAAACTGGTCTAATGATATATTTATCTTCAAGATCCTGTGCTTAACAACTTATCCAATGAAGTCTTACAATAATTCTACTACTATACTACTTCTACTTCTATAGCTACTTCTACAGCTACTTCTTCTACTACACCTACTCCTACTCTTACTACTACTCCTACTACCACTACCACTACCACGACCACTGCCACTGCCACTGCCACTGCCACTGCCACTACCACTACCACTACCACTACCACGACCACGACCACTGCCACTGCCACTACCACGACCACGACCACTGCCACTACCACTACCACTACCACTACCACTACTCCTACTCCTACGACCACTACCACTACCACTACCACTACCACGACCACTACCACTGCCACTGCCACTACCACTACCACTACTACTACTACTACTACTGCTACTACAACTGCTACTATTACTACTACTACTAATAATAATATTAATAGAGTACCGAAGCTGTGACGTCATAAAAATCTATTTTTATAATTTCTCAATTTTTTCTTCATATTCCGAAAGAACATCAAAAATAATGTCCAAATGTTGAAAACCAATTGAATATGTTAAGTATTGGCTGAGATATGACCATCTGAATAAATATACTCCCCATAGGAACTCAGTGTTATATGCTCTGGCTCCTAATGGTTAGGAGCCAGAGCATATAACACTGAGTTCCCATAGGACATATATTCATTCAGATGGTCATATCTCAGCCAATACTTAACATATTCCATTGGTTTTCGACATTTGGACATTATTTTTGATGTTCTTTCGGAATATGAAGAAAAAATTGAGAAAATCTAAAAATAGATTTTTGATGACGTCACACTTCACCACTCTATACAGTCAAACCTGCGTTAGTGACCACCTGTCTACAAAGACCACCTGTCTACAAAGGCCACATTTGTTGTTTCCCTTGGAAATGGCTTCTCATTGAATCATGTACTAAAGGAACCTGTCTACAGAGACCACCTGTCTACAAAGGCCACTTTTTGTGTTTCCCTTGGCTGGTCGCTATAGACAGGTTTGACTGTACTACTACTACTTTTACTACTAGTACTACTACTCCAGTACTACTCAACGTACTTTTGTACACATTCCGAAGCTAGATCTCTCTTGCAGGACTCGGTATGGGCCATCTTATAGAGGACCACAAAGACAAGAAGATGAAGTATGATGGTATAGGCCAGGAAGAACATTCGAGCTATCTTATTGGACAGGATTAGACGACCCTGTAAATGCAAACACATTGGTTGAAGAATTAAAGGACCATGTGACACAATCACATAGGTTACCAGGTTAAACAACCCTGTAAAACAAAAATCGATGGAAGGATTATACAAGCATGTCAGGTATATGTATTAGGCCTAACCAAAAAGATGTTGTATTGCCCTTTAGGTGCAAAAACATGGTTCAGAAATCTTTTTTTTTTTTAATGACTTTGGGTTCTTTGGGCTGATATTTCTCAGTTTTGAATGCTTTAATATTTTATTTCTCTTAAAAAAGCTTTTAAAAACTTTTTAAAAAATCAGACCATAGATTTCAAGATTTTGGGGTCGATCGCAAAGGGCAATAGGACTTCTTTTTGGGGGGGCCTTATTGTAAACCATGGGTTATGTAAATGAGGATTTAAACCATGGTTTAAATCTAAACCTCCTTTGTGAATTTGGGCCAATGGTATTGACACCGTTTTAGAATGAGGGGTATTCAGGTTTATATACAATACTTCATCTGTGAACCACTTTGATTACCACATTGAGTAAAGCCTTCTCAGAAGGGACTATATCAACTACAATGACTACTTTGAATAGATTACACCAGGTATAACTTGGGCCACTTTCAAAATTAAAGGGCTTCAATGCTTACCATATTGAGTGTAGCCTTGTCAAAAGGACTTAGTCCCATGTATTTCCGCTGTCTCTCTTTTCTACTGAATGAGTTGAATGGATCTAGTCTCTCTTCATATTGGCTCTGGTATCTACTCTCTGTGTCATCAAGTCTATTGGTGTTCTGCAGAAGAACATACATTGTATTGTATTGGTTTATTATGATACTAAAATCATAGAGCATGCAGCTGATGGCTGAAATCGTTCAATTTACAGAGTAAAAAGTACATGGTATAATATTACATTGATAACACACTAAAAGATATAGAGAAATTAACAAATATTGTGTCCTTCATATTTTACATGTACATCTACATGAAACTAGCTAGTTCCGTATCATACAGCATTGTGTCATCCAATCCTTTTACCGGTATTTTCATCTAACTATTCATGTATTTAATTTCGATAATTGAACAGGATGGTTCAACAAGTAATGATAATAATGTATCAACAACAAAAAAAATATAATGAAGTCTAATACCTGGCAAAATTGAAAAAACAAACAAACATGAAACTAGCTAGTTCCGTATCATACAGCTTTGTGTTATCCAATCCTTTTACCGGTATTTTCATCTAACTCTTCATATATTTAATTCCAATAATTGCACAGGATGGTTCAACAAGTAATGATAATAGGGACTTTTAGATTTGCACGAAGACAATGGGGATTGCTACAGTCGACGTCCTTTTAATGCACTGCCTTGAATGGACGTCACACGTATCAGTCCATGCAAATCTAAAAGTCCCTAATAATGTATCAACAACAAAAAACTATAATGAAGTCTAATACCTGGCAAAATTGAAAAGAACAAATTTTTCATAACTATTTTTGTTACGTTCATATAATCTTCAAATTGGCAATGTTGTAAATTAATTAATGCACCAATGACAAACCTACCCTTGAAGAAGGATAACTTTGTAGGAATCGTATCTTCTCGTAGAGTTTCACATTATCTTGTCTCAGCTTATCTACTTCATTCTGAAGGATGATATTCTGCTGCTGGTGCTGACGACTTTCCTGAAAAATCCAAAACAAGTACCGGTAGATTAATTTTCCAAAACCTGTAAAGATTGCATGATTCATTGCATAACTTGCTTATTACAGGGCTTATCGAACAAGAGGTCCTTATATTGAGTTATAAATGTGCTTTTTGACATTTTCAAGTAAAAATTTCTAGGAAAACAAATTCTGGAAACTCTTCTACTGGACATTAAGACTGAAATAGCTTTATATATCAAAGATAATATCAATGCTGGGAGCAGACCCATCGATATATGCATCTATGCGATACTACAAAAGAGCTTTCATGATCTGTATAACAATGTATGGTGAAAAACAGGAAGTGTGTATACATTTATATCAATGTGTATTGTTTGAGAGCATAAACATGAATAAATGCAAATAGCTTTCATTATTTAATGTTCCTATGTACAAATAATATTTTACATGTCAGCATGCTCATAGCATCAAAGACAAATATCCTCAAAGCATGGTAGACATGAGAAATATCAAGGTACAGTCAAACCTGTCTATAGCAACCACCCGAGGGAAACACTAAAAATGGTCTTTATAGAAAGGCTCCTTTAATTAGTATATGTTTTCAATGAGAAACCATTTTCAAGGGAAACACAAAAAGGGGTCTTTGTAGACAGGCCCCTTTAGTACATGTTTCAATGAGAAACCATTTTCAAGGGAAACAAAAAAAGTGGTCTTTGTAGACAGGTGGTCACTAAAGCAGGTTTGACTGTAATAGAAAAGGTTCTTACCCCTTCAAGTTCTTGGTTCCTGATTCTAAATCGTTCCCTCTGACTGGATACAATAGGTAGCAGCGACTCGGCAGCCCCACCAACAGATGCAGTTTCCTTGGCAACTAGAAACAGTACCAAAAATATTCAAAGTACTATGTTCTTGTAGTGCTCAAAGAAGATTAAGATATAATTTGTTCAGAGAGGTGTTTCACAAAGACTAAGATCGACTCGAGTTAGAGTTGAACTATGGCAGGAATTCATGCCACTGGTTGCTCTCACCATTGGTCTCTCAAGGTACCTCACGCATCTACAGAATTTACATTGATAGTTTATTGTTGAAGAATAAAAGTTACTTAAATTGTATACTTAAGTTATATTTAAGACTTGAGCTTATACTATGGTGTGCGATTTATCCCCTCGAAAAGTCTTGAACCAGATGTAAAATTAGAGGGAAAAGACCTTAGAAATTATGATTTTCAGATATTTTTTCCTTCAAAAATGAACTATCAAAAAATAAAATTTTGTAGCCATTTTGTGTCCACGATTTGTACAACCCTTGAGAAACCAATGCCAGGAATGGTTAGAGGAACTACAGTGGCATGAACGGCCTGCCATAGTTCAAGTCCAACTTAGAGGTGTCGTGGTCAAGTGGATACGTCGCCAGACTTTCGATCACAAGGTACGCGGTTCAAGTCCCACCGCGGCACTAATGTCCTTTGGCAAGACATTGATCTACATTTGCCACTCTCAACCCAGGTGATGTAAAGAGGTACCTGGCAGGAATTAATTCCTTGAAATGCTGGAGGGCTATAAGGCCTAAAATAAAAACTTGTTGGATTGCCCTTTGTGAACGACCCAAAAATCTGAAAATCTTGTCATATGACGCATTTTACGCGTTTTTTACAAACCTGGTTTGTAAAGAACAAAAGGAGGTTTGGCGAAACAAAAGGAGGTTTGAGCTCAAACCTTGCTTTGTGAATTCGGGCCATATCGTCTTTCAAAATCGGTGATTCAGATCGGGATCATCTATAGTCTGATCCGATTTCTGGGGCTTGGGCGGGATACTGAATGAATAAGTGACTTATCGGATTACGTGAACGTCAGAGTGAGAGAATTAGTACACATAAAGGAATGGATAAGTGATATATCGGATTATATCGGATTTGAGTCCCACCGTGGCACTAATGTCCTTTGGCAAGACATTCATCTACATTTGCCATACTAAACCCAGATGATGTAAATGGGTACCTGGCAGGAATTAATTCCTTGAAATGCTGGAGGGCTATAAGGCCTAAAATAAAAACTTGTTGGATTGCCCTTTGTGACCGACCCAAAAATCTGAAAATCTAAAAAAAAATATCGGCCAAAAGAGGGCGACAAAAAAAAAAGTAAAAAAAAAAAAAATCTCTTTTCCGACCGACCAACCCATGTTTTGGCACCCAAAGGGCAATGCAACAAGTTTTTATTTTAGGCCTAATGGCAGCTAGGCTACAGCCGGCGTAATAATGTATGTGCCTCGGAATAGAATTTCTAGATAGATGGCGCTATACAAATGCCTATTATTATTATTATTAAGTTGATCTTAGTCTTTTTGAAACACTCCCCAGGTCAGAAGGGTGTTGACTCTGTTTTGAAGTTCATAAGGTAACACCAAACAAACAATTATACGACAATATTTCTAAGCACTTTCAAAGAGCTTTGACAATTATTATGTTGAACTCCAACAACCTTCAAGGGGAAGTTCCCCTGGATATCATCTTGGTTTTAAAGGCAGAAATATGAGAGAAAGAAATCAGTGAAAGTTAGAGCAATATCCGATTAGAAATAAGAAATTTATGATTTTTTTGTCATCAGTGAAAGTTGTCATCAGTGAAACACAAGTTGATATCACACTGACTTTTCTCGCGAGCTCCTCTCCAATTCGCTCTGGACACAAATTTTCATGAATTTTCATTTTGTTAGTTATTGATGACGGAACAGACTTGTTTCATACAGAGGTTGAAAAATAACATGTTAGCAATAATCATATCTAGGGTGAATGTATATTGAAAATTTTCTTAAGGGAAAATATAATTTTTGGAAGATTTTTACTAGATGGCAAATGGGAAGAGACCTCACAAGATACATCACAGAGTTGCCAATTTGTGTTTGATTGATTGCACTTTCAAAACAAAAAGGCATCAATGCCTCATCAAGAACCAAGATACAAAAGGAAGCCATTGGTAGAGAGGATTACTTACGAGTGGTGCTTGGTTCTCCTACTGCCTTAGCTACCAGCTCTGCTTCTGAGCTTGAAGGTGTGGCTTGGCCCTGTATGACATGGATAGAGATTGTGAATTCCTAATTAGCTTTAGAAAAATAACACAAGTTTGAACAAAATTATTCTGGAAGGAAATGGTATTAAAGCAAGAGTATATGAGTAGTTACAGAGTTCTAGAATTCCTTTGAAATCACTCTGCTACATGTGGTTGTGATAACTGTGATTTTAGAGTATCGATTTTGAGAACAGGGACCCGTCTTACAAAGAGTTACGATTGATCCAAATCAATTGCAAGTCCGGCCGGACTCTTTGTAAGACGGGGCCCAGGACGATAATTCTTATCTACATCTATTAATTTATACTCTAGATGCTGATAATCTTTCTTACAAATTCCAGAAGAGATTTTCATTACTCTTCACAATATTCATGGAGGTATCCTGTAAGAAATGGCAAAAAAGGGAGGAATAAGATTAAAAAACACAGATATATACAGAAAGGAGGGAAGAGGGACAATGCAACATGAAATGGCCCGGGTCTCTTAATTTTCATCTACAAAATAAGACAAGTACCATCCCCCCGAAAAAAACTCCTTTGAAGGCAGGACCCACTATCTGTCACTGTTCTCACTAATCACTTACCTCTCCTTCTCCCCTGTATTTTGAAGATAGTGCATTCACACTCAGAAGGTCCTTCTCCAGTTGTCCAATCAGATCCTTCTGTTCGGTCACCGTCTGGTTGAGATGAGTGAATTGTGTCTGCAGTTCCATGTACCGCCCTGGACAATAGAAACATTGGCAAGAATTCAGTGAAGGCTGGACTTTACAGGTGTTCCGAAGTAGTGATGGAAAATTATTTGTCAGAGTCAATCGAAACTTACACAGAATGTAAAGTGGATTGCAGTCTATTCCTCTCTCTCTCTCTCTCTCTCTCTCTCATCGTTGATGTGTAACTTCCATTTTTCGCATGCCGTTGGGTTGAATGTTTTAATACTTTTACGGCCTTTCTTCAAGCCTTCCTTTGTCTTCTTTGTCCCCTTTTCTCTCCCTCTCTCTCTCTCTCTCTCTCTCTCTCCCCTCCCACTCTCACTTACTCACTCCAAGCTTTCCTTTTGTCTATCCATACACACCTTTGAGCATTCAGCACATCTTGTGCTCACATTGTCTGAAACTCTGAATTCATGACCGTCCTTAAAACATTGCACATCACCAAATACCAACACACACACACACACAAACACGGCCCAACAGAAAAATCCATCGTGCAACAACAATGAACAAGAGAGACATGATGATTAGAAATACTTAAGACAACGTCTTTTATTCGTGTATTTTTTTAATGCAAAAATTATCCTTTTCAACCAAGGATTTCATTTCAGACACCACTGAAATCCTCATCCTTTTTTTTCCTCCTTAAATTTACAATCTGTAGAAAAGAGAAAAAAACAATCATGATTCTTTTGTTCAATATTTTTTGTCATCTTTTGGAAGTCCATCATGTATCGCCTTTGAGAGCCAGGAGGGCGTTAAGTCTCGGTGTAAAAGGGGAAGAGGCGACGCCCTCCCCGGTTTCTCAGCGGACGACAGTACAATGTTACGCAGTGGTTTGTTTGTGTATCATATAATATATGGATTGTATACAAAGTAATAATATAGTAATAATAATGGCAAGATAAATAGTAACGCACATACAATTATGCAGCACAAAGACACATACTACAGACTATGCTGGTTCTAGGCTGGATAATGCCAAAGGGTCCGAAGGCAAAATGTTCCAAAATATTTGTCAAATCAACAATGAATAATCTTCCTGTTTTCCTCAGTTTCTAATTGACATTTAACCCCAGGTCTGAGTTTTGGGTAACTTGAAAATGCATGTTATTTTTTCCATGAACAATCTTCAAACGATTATAAATATTACTCCAGTTTTTTCCCCAAGTTTACAATTGATACTCATCCTTTTATGTTCTGTTCCGGGGAGTAAGATTCATGTGAAAATTTTCCCTCATCTTCGTCACACAAATTTTGCATATTATTCTTGCAATTTTCCACTTTTCTCAAATGACAATTATACTTTGTGTTTTTAGTTTGGACTAAAATGCATGTCATATGCGCATTGATTCTTAATCAATTGATAACATTTCAGAATAATCAAAATACATTTTCAGTATTCATTTCTTTCTTGTTTTTGAGGGTGGGGGAAAAACTGAAAATCATGACATTTCTAAACCTTTCCCCTACATTTTGCCTACCAGAGCCTGCACTAGTACAAAGCAAATGAAACAACTATATATACTGAATACATATACATGTACCTTCAGCCATCGGTTTGAATAAATATGAATTTGCCTCTACGCCCAAAATGATTTTAATACACATATACGTCGGAATAAGTACACATTTGATGCTTAATGCACTGAATTACTGGTAACTTTGGCTGTGCTAGGTATGACAGTATAATACAAACATATCAAAATAGAACGACATGAGCACCATTTCCTGTGGAGTTCTCAGTATCAAATATAACATGATTCTAAACTGTTTTCACGCCATTCTCATTGAAGCATTGCCTGGCATAGCAGCAAACAATGTCTGTAAACTGAAGAGACACAAGCACAATGTCTGCTGACTGAATGCTGATGTCAGGAGTGCAATGAAGAGAAATAATTGAATATAAATGGTTTGTTTAATAGGAAAGAGTTACACTAAAGTTTGAGCATTTCTTAACAGGCTGCATTGAAGCTAGAAGGGCATTAACTCCTATACTTCAATGCAGAGTTAACATCCTTCTGGCTCTTAACAGACACAATAATCCAAGTGGTCTTTCAGATGACGAGGCTGTATTAGCTCAATCAAACGATCTTTAAAATGATGAGCAGTTCCATTTCAGGAACATTCTTTTATTTCCAATGAAATATGATACTACAAGTTTTTTGGCTGGTAAAATGGTATTGGCTTTAGATCCATGAATACATCATTCTATATATGGCAACATTTAATATGGCACAAAATACAATTTCCCTTTTTATGACAAGGCATATACTGGTCTCTCACCACACTCTCTCTCTCTCTCTCTCTCTCTCTCTCCCTCTCTCTCACTCTCTATTGATGTTTTACTAAAGAGAAATCTTCTCTTTAGTGCAAACAAGCATATTTTTGTTCATGAGAGCTCATTTCAGAATTTCTTCAAAGTGTGATTTCCTTGCAAGAATTCTCTAGGTTCTCAACATTTTTGCCCACAGCTCTTTAAAAAAACACAATAAGAGCTCACCAAAAACTGTCTACTCCTGAATATTTTTCAACATGGTGAGTACATTTCACAGCCAGAATGCAACGGTTGGGCTGAATCATAAAAAACAGCTATGGCAATAAGGAATGGCAATTCTGAAGATTTACTGTATTTTTTGCTATATAGCCCAAGAAAGTAATTTTGATCTGCTTTTCTGATTAAATCTTTGGTGATATTTTTCCAATTTTCAAATGTATCTGACTTCCAATCATCATAAACTTTAAAAAATAAAAAATGAAAATGTTGTAAAAGTCCATCCTGTCAGAAGTTCTCAAAATAATTAAAACACAGAAATTAATGCTATCCTCCTGTACATTACTCAATTATAAGTAATGCCCCTCCCCCTTACCCCTACCTCCTCTCCCACTACTTAAGTACCATTCTAGTCGACTTAAGAATGTCATTATCAGTTTTGGTGCAATTATCTATGTAAATGACTTACCGGGTAGTACCCGCATTCAAAAATACAGTTAAATGTCTACACAAACATATACATGTAAATGGAAAAAAAAGTGTAAAATCTTAATTGTTTAAAAAAACAAAACTGCATGCCTGGACTGGTACTAGTTACTGTTATACGATAATTGGTAGCTTATGCTGAATACTAGACTCCTTCATGAAAGTCAGATTTGTGCTTCTACTCAGGACACAATTTTAAAATCTTACAAGTTAACCACCATCTGTATCTAATGCTTAACTACATACATATCAAGTCAGTGCTCTAGTAGCGAGTTAGTTTTTCCCCCAAAAAAGAGTTGATTCATATTGCGTATTTGTTCACGTCTCATCATGTGCTGATATATTTGAGATATTAAGACCGACAGTAACCAGTCTGTAGAAAATTAAATGAAAGGAACTGATGATTCATCACACCAGCTGGTGGGGGTAAAAACTATGTGATCACACCCCCCCCCCCCTCCCCCCTCCCTCCCAAACAGAAACTCAAGCAAGGCAATCTTTCATCCAATTGAGGACTGAAAACATTTTGAATGACTTAACAAGCTCCCGACTATCACTAAACCACTATCGCCGTATGTACGGAAAGTTCAGATCAGATAAATGTGATATTTTACAGATGAGTTGGCAAAACAATACTAAGACACAGAGAACATACAAAGTGAACCTTGCTATGCTAACCGTAACTGTACTCCTTGATGAAGCTAAGAAGTAATTGTCTTGTGTAACATTTAAATACATAATGAATGCAAAATTAAGGCTGAATATTGCCCTATCTAATTTCATGTGAGCCTTTTTTCTTCTTTCTCACTAGTACATAACTCAATTCATTGAGTGCATATATATCGCCAGCCTAAAGAATAAATATTGAATGACATAATAATAATGAATGAATGAACTATATCGAGAATGAATACCTAAGTACTTTGAATGGAAAACAGAATACAGCAAGATCAAATAAATAGAACACAAAGGGCAAGTATGACTACATTTGCTATCTAACACATTGTGTACTGTGCTAACGATTAAAAAAGAAATACGATTACAAAGTTAAGTAAAAATGAAAATTATGTACAAATTTACATACAGAAACGAGAATACAATCACTAAACATTGAACATTGTTATCAAAGAATTTTTAAACAGAACATGATTTCTTTCATATCAAAGAAATGATGATTGCAATGGGTATGTGTTTGATGCTTGAGCTCTCGTTCAACACGGAACGTTTTCAAATACATGGCACGTAAAATATAAATATAATATTGTTTGAGTTTGGTAAGTAGCCACAAGCGAGCACCAATTAAAGCAGTTTTTCATTTGATTTCATCTCAACTGACAAAATGTGATTACATAAAGTACTTTGTAGTTCATTTTCATATACTAATATGCTCCTTTCTTGTGAAAGAAATAATAGATTACAATAACATGATTACATCAATGGAAGTATTGTTTGACATAACTTTCTTTCCTCGTTCGTCTTGTACTCATTAGAAAGGCAACGCTGAGTGCTGGTAATGGTTATCTTTTTGTATCTTTTCATTCTATCATGTAAAAGAGAGAACAAGAGACAAAATAGTATAGTGACATGAAGATACATGTAGATCTCCATGCGCTCTTGTCCCTCAATCACAAGTAAAAAATAAAAAATAAAAACTTTTGGACCAAGTCATGACCATCAGATTATTCTTACTGGTAAGTAATTCCCAGAACTGAATTTGTTCTTTTTATTTATTCAATACTTCTTTATTCTTCTGCTGCTGTTATTTCAAGCATAATTTACCAGCATAATTTTTTTCCTGATTTATAATTACTTACAATTATCTGCAATCATCACATGATCAGTCAAATTTCACTCCAATGCAATGTCACTGCAAATACTCTCCCAAATGTGAATTAACTTGGCAAGAGCATGATCTTCAAAGCGATTAAAAAAAAATAGAGCAGATGCAACCTTACATGAAAAAAGGCCATGGCTACGATGCCACATAAATTCTTATCATTTCACTTAGGTTACCTCCAGAATTTATATAAATTTTTGCACATGATTCAATGAATATAATCATAGTTTATTAATTACATAATGATAAGCCACTGGCAATGAGAAGCATCTCCTGTTTCATATCTCCATAATATCATTCCATTACAATCACCACCCAACTGGATTTGATCTAAATTCCACAAATTAAAATGTAGTTCATTAATTTATTTATCATCACATAGATGTGCACTTGAGAAAGGAGCGAGGTGTGTTGTTCAATTGGCTTTGAAGATTAAGCTCTCAAAGTTGCTTGATACTCATATCAAATGAAATTTATGAGACATGCACTGCACAATTTACATGTTGACCTATTGACAACTACACCAGAGATAACTCAAGGTAGAGTCCATGGAAAAAATGTGTTATACTAAAATCAAACTGTACATGTATGCAACAGGTTAAACCAGGGAATGTGTTATCTAATAAGTAAAAAGAGACATAATACAAAGGGTTCGTTATCAAATAAAACCAGAGATATGGAATGATACAATGGACAAATTACTTGGTTGACAATTTAATCCATTTTGCTGAATGACATTTATCAAATTAATTGATCAATCAACACCTACATCTGTACCTTAACATTTGATCATCATTAAGTAGGAAAGCTCATTTTGTTCAATAAATACCATAAAAATAGAACAATCACTCTTGATTTCTTGAAGACATGATCTACACTGCCCTTGGAAGAAGCCCATTGGCCGAACATCTCTGATAGGCAGTGAACACATTTGAATCACGATGAAAAATACGAGGCCCCAGACTTTATGATCCCTGCCAAAATAGTTGGGTTATTGCATTCACAGGACATCTAGAAACATACAATGAGGGAGTATTGTTTGAAGTATTGTCTTAAAACTCCCAATCCCCTTTCTCCTCCTTCACGCCATTCTGTAACCTGTGGACAGTGTCGTCTATGCCTAGCTTGGGCCTCTTCTTTGGAGCTTCCATCCTGTTTTTGACTTGCATATTTTGCTCTTCTTCGGTAGCCTTGATGTGATCGACATCCTTTGCATCCTCCTCCTCCTCCTCCCTCTCCTCCCTCTCCTCCCTCTCCACTTCTTCTTCATCATCATAATCCACGTCCTCCTCCATCTCCTCCTCCTGGCCTTCCATCCAATCCTCCTGTCGTCTCACATGGTATCTTGCTCTCCCTTGGTTCTCACCCTCCTCCTCCCTGCTCGCGTTCTCCAGCGCAACGATGGCCTGTTTCAAATCGTTAACCCTCTCCTCATCCATCCGTTCCTGTGGCGAATCTTCCCCCACATCCCCATTGTCCCTTCCCTGGCGCAACCTCTCATCCAAAGCGGCCCTGCGGGACACCTCCTCCTGCATCAAGGCGTGCCTGGCAGACATATCGCTCTCTGTGTGGGTGTGGAACACCAGGCGGTTCTCCGGATCCACGTTGGCTGCTCCGCGCTTGAGTCTCGAGCGGTGGTTGTGGAACCAGTTGATGACTGTGGATGTTGGAAGATTCAGGTGTTCGGCTAAGGCATCTATGGTGGCCTGTGTGGGATAGGGTTCCTTGTCGTACGAAGCTTTCAGATGATCCTTTTCCTCAGGCGTCAACAAGACACGAGCTCTCTTTGAAGGTGGACTGCCGACACCTTGAGGGTTACCTGGGGGTAAGTTCACCATCACGTATCTTCTTGCTGTAGTGACACAAAGGAAGTAGAAAGGGGAATCATTATTCAAGGTTACAATATCAACATTTTATCCTTCTTCATGAAATGAATCCCATAAATATATACTCAGCAGTTCAATGATAAAATGTGTTTTTTAGTGATGCGGCAGACTTGTTTTGCTTGTTATTCAAAAACGTTAAGGGGCACCATTTTGATTTGAACATTTATTTTGTATTTTGTTTTTATTTTTGTACAACAGAATGTCATATTTTAAGTCATGTTCTATCTCAACCTAATACCTAATTATCAGCTATGTTATCTTTATAGGGACGTTGCACTTCAAACATTTTTTTATCTCTGCACTGTTCCTACTATGTATCTCGATGTTACCCACTGAATTTTATTATCTGTAAACAATTATTTTACAAGGTTAATGAATAAAACAAACAAACAAACTATTTGAAGGTGTTCAAAATTCAAAATTCTGCCTTATCTGAGTAATAATTTGGACTACTTTAAGCATTATATATTTTGCCATTGCCTCTCCTTTTGTAAAACTTAGTCAATACTCTATTGCAGAAGAGATGTATATTAACTCCTACATCTTTGAATCAACTCCATTGTGAAAGACCACTGACCTTTTCTTTTTGGCTTGTAGTTCTTGACCTTGGCGATACCATCCAGGTCCTGCAACCAGAGGTACATTCTGACATAAGGCTCTCTTCCCTTCATGCTCAGTTTGAGCCACATCTTTGGCTTGGACAGGAGGTCACTGACCGAGCCCTGGGTCAGCCCCAGAACTGATTCTCCAAAGGCCTTCTGACCTAAGCCGTGTTGCTGCAGTAGGTTCTTAACCTGCTGCGTTACAGCAAAGGTGTCTAGGTACTCGATCATGGCTGCCTGCTCATGGACAGGGGGTAGCTCTGGCATGGCGTTCGGTGAGGAAGGACTCTGAAGGTATGCTCTAGGTGAGGGTGTTGGGCGTGGTGATGATGGGGGTTGGGATAAGGGGGCAGGGGAGATTGTTTTAGGAGTTGGGGTGGAGTTGGAGGAGTGAGGAGAGGATGTGGAACGTTGGTGGTGTGAAGTCTTTGTGATATGCGTAGCTGGAAGCAATGGAAGCGGTTGATCTTCGACACTAGGACAGGGACTAGAGCAATTGGAGTTTGGCGTAGTGGTGTCGGCTTGGAAGGAATTGGCTGTTTTTGGAGAAAGAAAGTAAGATAAACATTGTAAGTGAAAGAGGTCATATGACTGTTTGTATCTTTAAAACAAGGGATTTACTGTCATATATTTTGTGATACAATTACGGGAAGAATATTCTGAAACCCTTTTATTAATCCAATCAAAGTTTTCAAAAAAAGTTTCATCAAAGTGAAATGTACAGGAAAACAAATCCTAGTGCCTCCAAATAGATAGATATTGGATGCATTAACTAATAATAGTATTTTCCTAATTTGTAACGAATGTATTAAATATAAAGGTACTTGAGATACAAGTGTCCGATCGGTATTATACTTACACATATCAGTGAAGGAGTAGTTTCCTCTTCGCACCAGCTCCTTCAGTTTGTCCATTCTTCCTCCATCATCAAGCCAGATTTTCATTCTGATGAAAGGCTCCTTGCCCTTGATAGTGAGCTTGTCCCATGTCTTAGGTTTTGACAGGATGTCACTGACACTCCCCTGGGACATGCCGATGATGTGCTCTCCAAAGACCCTCTGGGGTATGTTTCCCTTGACTAGCAGTTCTCGCACTTGCCTTGCTATGTCAACTGTGTCAAGTTCTTTACTGTTTTCATACTGGCCGCACGAGAGGGGAGGCAAGATCCGCTTTGGAGCCCTTCCTGGGCCATACGCTGACGTCATGGGGCTGCTGTCCTGCATCATAGCATGGGTCTTGCTGATATTCTCTAGGGTTTCCTCCACCTTCCTGGCGATGTCACCATTCAGGTTGGGAGGTGTCGGAGGCTCTCGGAGGCCCTCGCCTGACAGGGAATTGAGGGAGCGCCGCCGAAGGTCCCGCAGGTGCCTCATGTCCGATCCCATGGACATGTCCAAGGCTTCACTTTCATTGCGTAGAGGAGTCTTTGGGGAGAACGAGTGGGTACTGTCAGGACTGGAGCGCAGAGAGTGTCTGTCATACTCCTCTCTTTCATGGGCTATGCGTCTGGCGTGTTCATGAGCCATGGCTTTCTGAGCTTCCATTTCTTGTTTGGCAAGAGCTAAGATGTTGTTGATGGCTTCGTCTGAGGAAGCCTTGACAGGAGATGCTATAGCAGTGGGTCCAGGAGGAGACTCCTTGCCTTTAAATATGAATATTACACATATAAATCAGTAAATACTAAATACACTTATACATACTACACTTGAATGTTTAAACTTGATCTGCAATCGATCTTAAAAATCACATATCACACGATCTTAAATTAACTTAAAACAGTTTATTTCAAATTCCTTATTATAGCACCTCAATACAAAAACATATTCTTAATACTAAGTATTAAAGTTACAAAGAGACAAATTGCATATAAAGGACTAATAAGACAATTATTCGAAATAATTTGTAACCAAAATAGCAAATATTGTGGTAAAGATATTTTAAATGTTTTCTTGAGTTACCTTTCTTCTGAAGATTGATGATCTTGAGTCTTTCAAGATGATGATGACTGGATAAGAACTGAAGCATCTTGATGAATGGTTCTCTTCCTTTGGCAGTCATCTTGTCCCATGGTTTTGGTCTCGAAAGCAAGTCACTCACTGAACCTTGGCTCATATTCAACACAACTTCCCCAAACAGTCTCTGCCCTATGTTATTATCGGCAAGAATGTCTTTGATTCGCCTGGCCACCTGCACTGTATCCACCCACTGGTGCGACATGGCAAGTTCCCTGAGGGCCGCTTGCTGCAAGGCTGCCTCTCTTGCTGCGAGTTCCCTTGCCGCTGCCTCCCGCACCGCAGCAATGGTGTTGGGTGGTGTCTTCGGGGGCTGGGGTGGTTCAGGCGTGTGGACATGGCTTGTGCTTGGAACAGGAGACTGGGACATGGGCAGGGGCTGGTGAAGGTGCGACTGGGCCATGGGGTGGACGAACCCCATGTGAGGGGCAGCCGCGGCGCCATGGGGGTTCAACGATGGCGGGATCACAATTATGGGTTGAATGATCTGGGAGCCTGGGATTTGGGTGTTCATGGCTGTTCGCTGGTGGTACGCCGCCGCTACCTCCTGACCGATGAGCGATGCAAAGGCTTGAGCTTGGGCCAGCCCTCCAGGTCCAACCCCACTACCTCCTGCAAGAGAGATGAGGCAAAATGCACTAAGAGACCCAAGACTGTCAAGATTGACTGGAATGGCCACGCTCACAATAGAAAGTAGAGCAGTCCCTCTGCACATATCCTTTTTTAACTCATACTTGAGCTCTTTTGGTTTTTTAATCATTGCAGAGAACTGCTCTTTTGGTGAAAATAGCTCTTTGATAAAAAAATTCTTTGGGTATCAAAACCTGAAATAATTTGAATTTGAATCACGTTTGTCTTTAGAGATGAGACAATTTTCCATTTTTCAAACTTGAAATTGCATGTATGGTAGTTGAGAAAACAATGCCTCCAGCAAGATCTTTCTTCTTGGAGACATCAAAAAAATTAAAAAGGAAAGAGAAAATGAAAGAGAGAGGACTATGAGAGAGAGAATGCATTTTGCCTCTTCTTATTTGCTAGGGGTTGGTTAGGATTTGGAGAGCTGTTCCGTGCTTCACCTCTATTGCGAATGGCACCATTCCAGAACCATAGTCTCAATCAATCTGATTCAAAACCATCACTTAAACACCTTACATCCACAGCACCATAAAAGAATTCATCCATAAGGTTTCCTCTTTCTCCTTCTCCTTACTTCATTCTATTTTAAACCATCTATCTCTCACTGAAACTATATCCATGCAACCATTTCAAACTCCATACATAAAACATAGAATTTCGGCAGGTATGTAAAAATAATTAATCATTACTGCTAGATTGAAATATTTGCTATACATTAACAAATTATTACTAATTGGCATCATTTGGAAGAAAAAAATAATCCACACAGCTGTAATATTTTACTCTACATGGACAGCATAAAGTGGTTCAATATATCTCTTCTTGAACTAATGAAAGTTCACAATTTTAATCTCTGCTGATGTCTTCAGTACTGACTGTATCTACCATCTCAAGCCTCTTTAACCGCAATTACATCAACCTATATCACAAAATTATACCACACATGTTTAGAGATGAACAAAAATATATTTTTTTAAAATCTTGCACTCATCAGCTACTAGTTTGAATGAAGCTAGAAGGTCAAGAGTCAAGTACATTTAACAATGAAAACTATTAAGTATGCCAAAAAAAATGGGCTTTCATTGCATAGTATTTTGGTCTGTTATTGTTTTACCGGACGGCTAAAAAAGCAAACAGGGGACGGACAGTTTAGTCCCATTTGAGGAACATGGTAAGGGGGATTAATGCCTTACCAAAGGGCAGCAGTCCTTGAATTCAAACCCTAGACGTCCTGATTATAGACCACTGCTCTAACACTGAGACATCGCTCCTCTGTATTTAAACATTAAGCCCCACTGCACTACTAAGAGCTACTTGCGCCCTCTATATATAGCAAACAATGCCTGATCGGTGACCATTGGTCCCCATGGTCCCCTTTTTCTTATTTGAATTGAGAGCTGATTTGATGAGATAACCACACGTCAGTGACCATGCAGCGAGGTCTAATCCCTCCTGGCCAAATTAGTGCAGAGGGGCTTTAAGATCAAGTGAAGACTTACCATTGAGATCAGTATTGTTGACTTTGAGTGTGGTGTTCTCAGTCTGAAGCGCCCTGTTCTTCTCAAGTAACAGCATCTCCAAGGACTTGGGTGGCAGGGGGGCGTGGCTTCCCCCCTCCCCGTCTTCCTTCTCGCTGATGGATCCACCCTCAGAGCTGCTGAACTCGATTGACTTGAGAACATTCAACTCTCGTTTGATCTCTTCATAGTCACTCTGTCCCTTCAGTCTCTCCTCCTGTTAAGACAAAATCGAAATGATACTATGATACCTGTGTACAAAGACGAATTTACAAAGTGCTATAGGCATGTCGTCTCTAAAGGCAGAGAATAGCGTTGAAAAGAGCCATAACTAAAGCTTTTTGACTTGCAATCAGAGTAAAACACAAGAATGAAACAGAAAGCCAAAATCGATAAATATAAACGGAAACTATATTGATCAATTTCGGCTCTCTGTTTCATTCTTGCGTTTTACTTTGATGAGTGCAAGTTGAAAAGCTTTAGTTATGGCTCTTTTCAACGCTATTCTCCGATTTTGTAGTACCGATCATCTTTTCGTTAAAGGCAATTGTCTTCAAAGCAAGCATGCTTTGTAGGGAGGTGGTCTTCATGGCAAGTGGTCTCTATTAGTAGGTGGTCTCCATGTTTTGGTATGTTTAGAGATTCTTTTAATACAGGTTTCAATAAGAAACGCTATTCATCGAAGACAAGAAATGTTATCTATACAGGGATGTAGTCTTTCAAAACAGGCAGGTTCTAAAGCTAAAATTAAAAATCTCTGTTTTTCAACATAAGAGTGTTACAAATAGTTTGCCCATAGTGCTTTTTGAAGATATGATACTGGGTTTTAAGGCTAGTTTTTGGCTGTAATAATGTGTGTAAAGTCAATGCGGGACAATCTGGATAAGACTTTGCCCAAAGCGCAACACTTCTTACTTTATTCTTCCAGCAAAATATACATGTAAGCTCAATACCCTCCATTTCAAATGCTAGATGAGAAAAATCTATACAGTGCAAAGAATCTTTTTAAAAAACACATTTAAAACACAAAATTTAAACTAAGTTCAGATTGGCATTTACAGGCACAGACTAAGCTTTAGAGGGCTAGGAATAAGTTATAGCTTTCTAAAACCAACACATAATTCCATAAAAACCCCAAATTCTAGCATTCTTGTTAATTCACAATGGGAAGGGGTGGGAAGAGTGAATGACAAACATACATTCCCTTGTTTATAATCCTTAAAGAATGACAGGAAATAAAGGATTGGAACACATCATTCATGTTGAGAGGAAACATGTGACATTCAATGTTGGATTATCCTTGACAAATGATTCTAATTTTGTTAATCTACTTTCCGTGAAAAATGCTGAACAACATTCCTCCTCCTCCTCCTCCATTGACAAATCAACTCCTCTGCTATAGATTCACATGTGGAACTAAATTTTCCTTTAAGCAAGCTAATATTGAAATGAAGAAAGATGTGGAACAAGTGCATGTACCAAGTTGCAATGCACTTAGGTTTTATATCAAATAAGTAGCTTTTTCTTGTGCTCTCTAATTGCAGAAAAGTAACAGCAATGTTGATTGCTATTCTTAAAGATAAAGTTGAGTTCTGGTTATGCCATTGCATTGTGAAAGAAATGTTGTGGAACCGATCAGAAAAGGTTGATCATCTAGCATTTAAGTATTGGTGTGTACTGCAAGGTTCTGGAATCAGCAAAATGATAAGAAATTTGGCCCAGTCTTTGGTAAAGTTACAAACACTGTACACGAACATGTGGCATAAAAATCTGTCCCGATTCCGTCTCGATTTGTATGTTGCATGCCATATTTAGAATATTAAGGCATTTGAAGAGCCATGTTTTTCAGGGAACATTTTTTATCTGATGTTCTTCCACACTTGCATTATAATACAATGATAACCCTCATGAATTATTTTCACTTCTTCCCAGAACTCAATCTTCTCTTTAAGTTAACTTACCAGTTTCTTAAAGGCATTGTTTCTTGTGGCCAATTCCTCCTCTAGCTTCTGGATGCGTGCTGCCGTGCTGTCCCTTAGTTTGTTGCTTGATGCTTGGAGACGTTGAACATCATCAACCAGCTGAGAGATCTGCAGGGAAAGGTGGGAATATAGCAAAGAACACACGTGATTACAATACACCTTATTTTTAAGTTTTACTGTGCCATTAATTTACGAGTTATCAAAACTGCTTTTTCCCAATTCAGATTTCCAAATCAATTCAATGGTTTATTGTCATATTGAGCATGATATCGTCTGTTTCGGAGCCAGGATGTTAACTCTAGCTAGTTAACTCTGTATTAAGGTATACCAGTTAAGGCCCTTCTGGCTCCAACAGATGATATTGAATCTTCTTTGGATACAAATTCATAAATGCATGAGCCAGTTTTCGTTTCAGGAAGGATAATCTAGTTATTCCTAGTCCAAACATGGTAAACCATTGAAATTCTTAGGTGGGATTCACCGCCCCCAGCATGGTAGGGGTTTAACAAGTACACTTCATACACATAGGCTCCTTAGCAGAATTGTTAATACTTGGTCAAAAGTGAAAAAAATTTGTCCAATCCTAAGGGAGTGTGGTTTGGGAGGACTGAAGCCGTTTCTTAGGTTTGAAAGTATGCTTTGACATATATATATTACCCTTAGCATTACCTTTGTCAGGGTGACTTTACATTTGGTATTGCTTACATCACAGTGACACTCTGTTGCAAAATTGCAATATTTATGTTTGTATTAATTAAATATGTGATGTGACGTCTAAACCTTACATGTGCAATAATAATAAAAATGTTTTTTGTGTTTTTTAATAATATGTACTGAAAGACAGCTTATTTAATATTTTATTTGACCCTGACAAAATTAAGGACCTATAAAAAAGCTAACAGTTCATTCCTAAAAGTTGAGTTAAATGTTATCAGGATTACCGTAAGCAAAATCCAAAAAAGAGTTTCTCCAACGAGCACTGAAATGCCAATGCTTTCACTTGGAGGTCTTTGAACCTCTATCATGTATTTATACTCAATTTGGAGTCTATATGATCTGTTTTATGTTTTTTACACGGACTGGCTGAAAAACAGTCTTTTTAGGCTGATGTGAGTTTTACCGTGAAAAAATAAATTCAATTCAATTCAATTCAATTCATTTCGATTCAATCTTACCTCTTTCTCTTTGGCTGTCAGTTCAACTTCAAGACTGGACCTTGTCAGTATATCAATGGCCTGCTCCTGCAATAAAAGCAAGTAAGAATTAGAAATATGAAGACAAACGACTTGAAGGTAATGCTGACATTGTGGCTGCTTAGCATGTATTATGCCTGATGAAGAAGTGCATTTCTTACTTGAAAGTCCCCTTTAAAACATAAATTTGTGTAATACAATTTTTTACAGCATTGTGGTCTACTTTGCATCACTTCTGCCCAATGTATGTAATACTTACAACATTGGGGGCGCTTTGCATCTGTTCAGCCTGATGTAGACTCTGCGTAGCGGACTGTAGCTGGCCCTTCATACCCTCGATGAGCTTCTCACTTGCCCCTACTCTCTGATTGGCTCGCTCTAGGTCGGTCATTAGTAGCTCCATCTCATCGGACCTGTCGTCAAGAAACAATCAGACATAATGATCATCTCATTGCAATTGCAGGGAGGTGTTTCAAAAAGATCCTCAGTTGAACTTATCTCTAAGTTGGACTTAAAAAGTATGAGAAGCCGTTAGCATCTTTGAAAATATTTTGTAAAATTTCTTTTAAACGGCATAAAATGTTGATTCAAATCATTCATATTTTCTACTATCATGGAAAATTTCATGTTCTTGATGTGGAATTTATGAAAAGTCTAAAATACTTGATTTTTCGCTTTTGAATATATTTTATTGTAAGGCTACAAATGGCTCTCCATAATTTTTAAGTTCAACTTACGAGTTAAGTTCGACTTAGGATCTTTGTGAAACACCCCCCTAGGACTTGTGGCTTGGTGACAACTGCTGGAGGTCAATTTATCAACACTAGTCTGAAATACACTTCAATGCTAGGTCAAATAAAACATTGAATCCTGATGACTGACCTTGACCCTGACCTTGACCCTGACCTTACACTAACCAAATATCCAAACATAACCCTTACTTTTTATCTTCCACAAGAGTTAATTTTCTACTTTTATCTTTCTTTCACTTTCATACTTATCTGCACTCTTTTGTTTCTTTTGTTACATTTGTCCGCTCTTCGTTGCTACATTTCTCTGCTCTTCATTGTTTTACACTTTCAATCAACCCTTGGCAATCAATCAAAATCATTTTGATCATCATAACACTTGAATCAAAAAGATATACTTCAAATATCTACACAATCTTTGCTTGTTTTATGTTTGACATGTAACTCCGAAAAGGAAAAGCTATTTGACAATATTGATATACCAACATTCTTGGAATGAAGCTGATTTTTTTTTAAATTCCCACCAAATATCTTCATCTTCAAGGAAATTAAGACTTTGTGCCTGAAATTGACAAGGTTTTTAATTGGTCTTACTTGGCTTCTCCTTGCTCATCGTACTTGGCCTTAATATCAAACAGCTCTGATTGTGTGTTATCCAATGCTGTTCAGAGAAGAGAAAAAAAAACATTATTTCTATCATTGTTATCTATCAGTTTGTAATTATATTTGTATTTGAAATCCAACCTCAGTTGTGTTTAGCGGGGGCGGGGAGGGGGGGGGGAATAAAGCAATAATAAAAACTTTTTTTTTTAATAAATAAATTTTAAAAAATAAATAGAATTACAGTAGAGGTGTCGTGGTCGAGTGATACGTCATGGGACCGTGATCACATGGTCCGCAGTACAATTTTTGCCACACTCGACCCAGGTGAGGTGAATGGGAACCTGGCAGGAAATAATTTCTTGAAATGCTATGAGTGTCAGGTCTGACAGATATGAGCACTGTACAAGAACCCGTTATTATTATTGTCGTTATTATTCATAGATCTCTTTCAATGTTCTAGGGCTATGGTACAATTACGCTATACCACAATCGTTCACACCCATGAAACCCTAGGTTTCACCTCAAAAGCAATCACTATTTGACGGAGAAATCCATATCTTTCAGCAAGTCATAAGAATATACTGCTCGGAGTAAGTTTCCTTTGTCCTAGACTTTTTTTTTGTTGACAACATTATATCAATATTTTTTTAGATTAGTATTCCAATCTATGTTACAAGAAATATTAACGAAGTAAGCTTTAAGATAGAAATAATTGAGAATAAACAAAGACCTACCATTTTGGAGAGTTGTGATTTTAAGCTCAGCTTCACCAAGCTTCTTGGCTACAGACATCTGCTTCTCTTGCAATTGCCTAAATTAAAACAAAACAAAAATGATAATTGGGATTTTTCCTTAACATTCACTGAAAAAAAACACCTTGAGGTTGAGAAATGAAAAGCGTTTCTTTCAAAGCCAAGGGGGAAACTCTTCAAAATGTATTAGAAATATTCAGACATCCATAATGAAAGAACAAGAAGAAAAGAAGAATACAGACTAATGAAAGGTGCCACACAAATGGCAGGTGAAAGAGTTGCATGGCGTGCTCTCGTGAAGGCCACAGTGCTCAGCGCTTTACAGCGCCACCTGAAGTTGATGATGATGATGATGACAAGATGACTTTAAATTCAATATTTCATTTTAATCACACCCCCTCCTACTTTTTAATTGTCTTTATAAATAATACAAAACAATGATTATAAACTAACACTCATTTGTCTAACCACTCCCCCTCTCTTAACCAGATACAATCAATATTTTATTTTATTATCATTATTATTTTCATTGTTGTTTTTGTAATGGAGAGGGTAGGCTAGGCCAGATGAGTGCAAATCGATGTATTAAAGGGATTGGGTAGCTTTACCTCAGATTCTAAACAAAATCCTGGATTTAGCTCATGCTGCAATGACAATAATACCCCTTTGGGTCAGTCGGAACCCCATGACTTTTACAAGCTGATCGCCTGTCTGATTATCAAGATATTTATGATTGGAAATCAAAATTTCTAAAACCGTTTTCCTAACGCTTTTTTTATAACACTATAGTCTATTGGGGGAAATGAGTCTGGTAAAACCGATCACTCAAAGATTTTTTTATATTGTTTTGAGGCACTTCATGATCATTTTGAAGCAACAATATTTTGAAGGTTTCAATATTACACCATATCACAGACACTGATAACACGTAGGGCCGTGCATCTCCGATTTAACATTGTTAAACGGTGACTTTTATAAAGGCATGATTCCACATGGAGTTATTTATGCTGAAGTCTTCAGACAGGCTTACTTTTCTTTTTCAGCGAAGTCTCTCTGAAGTTCTTTCTCCTTCTCGTCAGCTCTCGCCTGAGCCACAGACTCAGATCTCTCCTCATACTCCTTTAATTTCGTCTGAAGATTCTTGATTGTTACCTCTGCAAATGAGGAGATGAAAGGTAAACACAAATGTTGTGATAATAATAATAATAATAATAATCTTTTAAAGTCTACTCCATATTTTATTAAGTTAAACCGAAAATGGAAATTCTTTTTGCCCAATTGATCGTAAGCCCGGCAGCCACTGAGCAGCGTCAGATCGATGTTGCTCTATCCCTTATTGTTGCACGCCAAATAAGGTAGCAGCAACTCCCTTCTTTTAATGTCTTTTGGTATGATGCAGCCGAGGTTCGAACCCACGACCTCCCTGTTGTAAGGCGGACGCTCTACTGTCTGAGCCAACACACGTATGTTGTAAGATGAATAAAAACAACAGGAAGAAAGCACTTGAAAAACTAATTTGGCATTAGCTACAGACTGATCTTTTCCTATAAATGATCCTCCTTCAGTTTTGTCTGAGGACTCTTGAATGTTACATCTGTAATCAGGAGATTAAAGGCATATTTCACGATAGAAGAAAAAGGCATACTCTAATAAATACAAACAGGCACAGTGAAGAAAACGATATTGCAGTTCATGCAACTTTGAGAAATTCCGCTCTTTATTGTTTTCTGTTTTTCTCAATACATTTTTGATTTGTTGTAGAAAACTGGAATGTCTTGATTTCCTTATAAAGGACAGTTTTTTGGTACATACTGCACTTCATCTTTGACATCATTACTGTATCTTTCTCCTACTTAGTAAGATAGAGGGAGAATTAAGGGAGAGAGAGAGAGAGAGAGAGAGAGAGAGGGAGAGAGAAAGGGAGAGAGAGAGAGGGGGTGAAAGAAGAAAAAAGAGATAAGAGAGAGAGGAGATGAGAAAGAGAGGGATAGGAGATGAGAAAGAGAGGGAGAGGAGATGAGAAAGAGAAGGAGAGGGAATGAGAATGAGAGAAAGGAAAAGAGAGAAAGGAAGAGAGAGAGAGGGGGAGGGGGGTAAAGAGAGAAGGGGGAGTAAGAGAAAACAAAGATAAAAGGAGAAGAGGAGTGAGAGAGGAGGTAAGAGAAATGGGGCAGGAGAGAGAGAATTGAGTAAGAGAAAATGAAAGCCATAGGGAGCAAGAGATACAGAAAGGAGAGCAACATAGGAAACGGAATATGGAGTGTAGTCTTCAGCTTTTAACAATTTAGACATTTAAGGTGAAATTCAAAGAAAATCACAAATATGTCAACTAATGTATCACTGGAAACTGGTAAGCTAACATATGTCCATCGTACAAGTTTTAGGTCAACCACATATCGGGTGATTTATAAAAATACATATACAACCACCTCCATAGCAGCTGGGATATACGAGAGATTCGTTGGGAAAATAATGATGTTTTAATGATGTCACTATATGGACTAAAACTGCCCGAGCAGACGACATCTTATAAAGAATGAACATGATTGCAAAGCTATTATTTGTCAAATTATAATGAGTTTAGTGTATATAAATATAATGGCATGTCAAACCATTCAAAAGGGGATATGACCCGATTCTGATAACTAAAATATTTTGCTTGTAAATACACAGGATAGGGGTTAATTAACAATCAAAGAAAACAGACTTTCAAATTGAAACCCCCCCGGAATGATATTAAGGACGCATTTGTTCCCTCTTGAACTGCTGAACATACCGCGGTGGGTGCAGCTGAATATACAATGGCGTCTTATTTTGTTTACAAGCAACAGATTCCTTTATTTTTGTATCGCTGCATTTGTCATCAAAATAAAACCATGCGCAGGGTTTAGAGTGAGGCAATAGATTATACATTAAGCCTGACGGTAGTGAAGTAAAAGAAAGAACTCAAGAGAAGATGAAAACACAGGCACTGAAAATGTGTGAGATGTCATGGGACATCGTCTGCTTGTGCAAATCATGTCCATACTGTGATCTCACACATCTCAGCAGCATTTGGAGAGCTCTTCAGGTGCTACGCCGGGGCTGTATTTGCGTTTTGTAATTTATAATAATCATTACTTTGAATGTTTCCAAGCATTGAGTTTTGATTACCTTGTTGAATCAAAGTTTCAACTTTGCAATAATGAAAATAAAGTTAGTTTTTAAAATCAATGAATATCTACTTTAACAACAGACCATGCAGCCTGTGATCTGGGTCCTATGTAATGACACACCTTAGAGTCAGGCTTAACTCCCGCGCTCATTGCATTGATCAGAATATCTGATGAATGACTGAAAACCAAGAGCATCGACCCGAGGACTGCACAGCTGTCGCCATAGGCCAGCATGCAAGGCAGTATTCCATCAATCTAATGATTTCGCGTCAAATAGGAGCCCAAACCAATAAACTCACTATTGATTAGACTCTATGCCATCTCACATAGGCAAGCAGAGAGAGGAATCAATACAAAAATCAATAGAGGAATCAATAGGAGAATCGATGTTGGAATCCATAAGGCCCCCGATCTATATTTTTGATTAACATTGTATAGCCTCACGATGAAATAGCCTGTACAAGCAATTCAAATTAAGAACAAAAGATAGCCTAATGAAAAGACTTCAATCAATATTGTCTGATCGATAAATTGAGGATTCCTGAAGACACCAAGGAGATGAATAAGGAATTCTTTGAAAGCCATGACAGGAATAGATGAAGAGTTCAGGGTTGGTCATTTTTCACCATGTTAAAATTCTGGCGTATAGCTTGATAATAATGTAAATTGCTGATATAGGTAAAAGAATATACTGTACAACACATGGTATGGCAAGTATTGTTCCGCAGTCAATGTTGTACCCTAGCCAAAATTGAAATTTTAACTATGGACCCAAAGCCCTAACCTTAATCTAATTGCAACCCTAACCTTAACCCAATCACAACCCTAACCTACTCAGAATCGCAGCCCTAACCCTAAACTTATATCCTTGGTGAAAAGAGCACAGGTCCCTCATTCTTACATCGACTCACCAGGTAATGGTTTCTCAATTTTCCTTAACTAAAATGTACATTTTCTTACTCTATTTTCTCTTCAAAAACAGCATTTTCTGCTGATACGAAGACTACATATTGATGTAAAGTGAATAGATTATCTTGGAATTCTTGGCGAAGACCGAATAATAGCTAGAAATCAATATAATGGACCATGAGATACAAATCTTATCAAATTTGCTCAGTTTTTTTCAAACTGTATTTTTCTATCATTTCCCTTCAAACTAACATTTTTTTTTTTATCTTTTCTGAAAAGTCTGATATGAAAACTGTATCAAAGTATTCAAAGTATTCAAAGCAAATAGAATCTATAGCATTCTTGGCAAGGACTGAATAATGGGTAGAAATCAATATAATGGATCAGGGGAGATAGGTCTAATCAATACAAACCTAATGGAACGACCAACAGCTGAATACTCTGCCAAAGTTCCCATCATTTTAACACTTGGTTAAAAATAGGAATAATATTGTGTGCTTAGAATTACATGGCTTATGTAAGAACATATACTATTTATTTAATGTACACTAATTAGTGTGCCTATTGATAATTTGCCTTATCTTTTAATCTTGAATTGTCATTTATTCAGTTTGGAATAATGAACATGTTATCAAAGTTAATGCCTTGATTATATATGTACATACAGGGGTATGATTGTATGTACATGTATGATGTAATGATTGTAGTTATTGTATATTTTTAATAAGGAAGAATTTTGAAGGAATTGCAAACCATCCATATTATCAACATGCGTTTTCAAAAATCAAATGATCATACATATAATGTGCATTGAACAAAATTATTCTATAAAGTTGAGGTCCTTTTTCTTTTGGAATTTTCTATTCAAATTAATTTTCGGATTTCTTGAAATGGAAATAGTTCTACAGTGGCTATAGTATACCGAACGATGGCATTTTTCCAATGTCTAAATCATGTGATAAATTGAAAAACTAAAATCAGGTGACTTGTGAGTAGTCTTTTTAAAGCCAATTGTGTGGCGATACAACGTGACTATGTACAGTTGTATATGTTCTGTACTGGGAAATATATTCAGCCTGTTTTAAGTGACAGGTCCATAAAAGCAAAATGAAAACAAATCAAACAAGAAATGATTGCATGATAATATCAGATCGCTTTGCGGATGAAAGCCTATAACAACAAACTTGAAAGGATTGCTAAATAAACGTTTCACAATTCATTTATTCCAATATCTTAATGGACCATCACTAGAGGCAACTTTTGTGGTAAATGTGTATTTCTCAAGACATCTTACTTATTTATTGCTTCTAAATACTCAAATGCAGATATCTTAAGTTAAATGGATTGGAAGAAAATATTACCCAAAGTCGTTTTCTTCATGGGATATAATGCCTGAGGTGTAGCGAAACAAATACAGGAGCAGACACCATTACAGCTCTCGAAGGAGTTGTACAAGTCTCATGAACAGCTTTGATAAGTAACAATATTCAGATAAATCAACCACCAACAATAATTTTTTTTTCTAAAGTTATCAATACACTTGTTAGAAGCAGTTTTTGATAATTTTTGTGTTTTTGTTTATTTGTTTATTTGTTTTTTTAATTGAAGCACACAAAGCTGATTAAAATCAAAAGTATTCATCAATTCCAAATCACTGATATTCCTATTTAATTGTTTATATGTGAAATCAATTCTAATTGCTAACCCTAGTTAGAAGAATTCCAGGAGCTTTCAATGCCAGACAAAAGGTAATCTCGACTAAACAGAGACTTACAGACTATAGAAAGTACATTCACGTAATGCTATACAAACAAAACGAGAGCATTTATCCACTTGAGCATCATCCACTCGAGTATGCGGTGCAGCGACGGGGATAGTTATGCTATCGCATGTTATGCTATCGCATGTTGCGAGCACACTTGAGAAAGAACAAGAACCCCAAAAAAGAAAACTGGTTTTCGGTCGAGCAGACAAGACAACCGACCGGGGCCCTCAGCTCATACCTGGCTGGGCTTCATCCCTCCAGGTGGTTGGGAGGATGATGTGAGGTAAATGATGCGGTGTTGCCTAGCAACGCAGCTCTGTATGAGCATCTCAAATGTCACAAATAGTGCACTGTAGGATGCATGGAGAGTACACTGTGGAGTGCAATGACCCCCCACATACCTGTACCTGTTTATCAAATACATTTTTTGTTGTTGAATGGCCATAATTTTGTAAGTCAAATTCATCAATTCCATCATTTCCATGTCTTTTTTTTGTTGTTTTTTTGCATTTTAAAGAAGGATTGGACAAGATTAATTTGTCACAAAGTCCTTAAATTCTGTGTCTCATTTTCTTCATCGAATAGATTAGACGATATAAATTGCCTTTCACTTCACATTGTTTGCAGTATGAATTGATGAACTATTTCCAAAAACAAAGTTGTATGGTTTTCCCATCAATATTCAATAACCACCAAAGCCAACCTTCTTTACAGACACATTGACATACATCTCTGTGGCTTAAGCATCTTTGTGTAAATTAATGATTCATTGATTCATGGATGGGACCTGTCAATAAAAAGAGTAATTCCCTCCATGGATAGAAATAGCAGCAGAAAGGAAAGTAGAGCAAAGTCACGTCAGAGGAGGAGAACGCTATTCAAGAAATGATTGATTGGATGTATTGAATTGATACATTGATGGATGGGAGGCTGATTGATTAGGGAATGATTGAATGGATGGCTGACATTGAAAAAGGTTACATTGTGAATGATCAACAACGGTTAAAAACCTGCCATAGTGGCCACAGTGTCCACCTCTCTACAAAGGCCACCTGCCTTTAGCAGTTAACTTTAGTGTCTTACTTGAGAAAGAAATGTTCTAGCTTTCTTTCCAACCTGTCACAGTGGCCACCTCTCAATAAAGGCCACTTGTGTAGAGTAGCCAACTTTATTTTTCTCAATTGATGATGAAATGAGTATTGAAAAACCTATATAGAATTTCCATTTCCCATAGGTGGCCTTTATAGACAGGTTTTTTGTTTCGTGTGAATATTTCCCTTGCAATTTACTTGAGATCAAATCAATAGGCTACTGAATTTTAATTCGAATGGAAACATTCAGACCACATTTCACTTACTTTGTAACATGAAATTTTGGTAAATCTAGATCTCACACAAAATTCATCTAAGTTTTGGGTATATGAATTTCCTGGTTTCCGTATAAAAATTTGATCTCTGTATGCATCAAATTCTTCCTTACGTTCCCGTACGTCGTCACGAACACTTCGTTCATCTTCCACATTACTGTTAACACCTGGACCCCGCACTAACACCCGGTATGGTGACCGCGCCTTTTCAGTTATTGCCCCCGCTCTCTGGAACAAACTGCCCGCCTTTATTCACTGCGCCCCCTCTGTATCTCAATTCAAATCTCTACTCAAAACCTATCTTTTCAAATTGTAAATTGCAGTTGTGCGTCGGTCAATGGAGGTGCGCACCATATTTGTCTTTATTTAGTTGATTGCCACTGTTTTTCTTACCTTATCTATGTTACTTTTGTATTTTTGCTTTTTCTTCTAATTTAATTCTACAGGTTATAGTCTTCTCTTAATCAGAACACTGTGCGCTTAGAAACATCAGTATTAAGCGCCTAATAAATGTTATGTATTATTATTATTATTATTATTATTCAATCAACCAATCAATGGGCCAAATCATGTTTTCAATCAACCAATCAAGTGGGTCAAATCATGTCTTCAATCAACCAATCGAGTGGGTTAGATCATGTCATCATTCTTACCTTGGTTTTTAACTTCAGCAAACTCCTTGTTATATTCTTCTAATGTCTCTCTTAACTTCTGATTCTCAATCTCCAGATCCTGTGCTTTCTGGGCTCTCTTCTGCAGATTGACGCAATATTCTAATACTGATGTTGGGTCTGTGGATGGATATACACACAAGAGAATGTTAGGTGTGTGTAAGGAGGATTCGGAGGCAGAAGGGTGTTAACTCACATACACTTTAACAGAGTTAATGCCCTTCTGGCTCTCAACAGAAGATATAGATATGCCAGAGATATCCACAATGAGTTAAAGACAATAACTAGAAATTATTCTTGGAAGAATTATAATCATTAGGTACTGGACTACTGGTGATCAAAAAAATAAAAAGACATCAAAGAACATTTAAACAGATAAAAATATTCTTTGCATATTAACATTCCTGAATATGCTTCATGTAGGGCAAAGTATATTGATGCACTGTATTTTCCAGTTTGGTCAATTATTTCAATCTTATCAAGATGTCTTGCCACACAGCTTTTTAATGCTACAATGAAGAAAAAACACCTAGATGTGATGTCAATACATTTCTGTGCAAATATAACTATAACATCTACTTTAAAATTATGTATCTGAATAATTTACAGTTTTTCAGACTTTTGATAGGCAATATTTACTACAAATATCTATTCTTCCAGTCAAGAATATTGTAGCTTGGAAGTTATGATCTGTGAAAAATAACATTCAATGATGTTGAAAATAGGAAACCCCTAGTAGACATACACAGTGTAAAGAAAGAGATTACATTCGCGACAGAATCGGCTGCATCCTTACCTGGTGTATCGATGAGTTTCTTGTAAATTGAGAGGAAGGCTCCTTCTGCTGCTTTGCTTCGTTTAGACAAGGAATCCACTTCAGCCTGAAAGCTCTTCAACAGGGGAGCTACCTGTTTGCGGACATCCTAAACAACAACAAAAAGAATCAAATACTTATGATTACAATCTGGGCCCTCTAACATATAAGTCAAGTTGTGGTTGATCGCAACTCAGATCAAACAAAAATGATATCATGTATACGCAACTTGCAATCAAACGCAACTGCGATTATTTTGGTCATATATCTATCAAAAAGTTGCGCTTGAAAGTTCTTTATGCATTGGAATTGCAAACAAACGCAAAGTTGAGTTTGATTTTTAGGACTACCATTTGATTTTCAGAGTTGCGTTTAAAAGCAACTGTTTATGCAAGAGGGCCCTGACCATGCTATTACTAAATTAGTCGTAAAGTTTTGCAGGTGCAGTATATAAATCCCAAAATAATATCTGTAGACTTGTGGAGAAAAAAAATACAAGGGAGTGGTAGACAATTTAGCTCCGGAAAGCTCCAAAAGAGCTCTGGTAAAAAGCAATGAAATACTTAAATGTCACTGTGAGAATATTGCACAATATTCATCTGTGATCATGATAATAATAGTAAATGTTCTTTCTACACCAGGGATTGAATCTATCGTGTACATTTACAATTTTACATACATGAACCAACATCCAGAGATGTAAAAAAGTCTGAAAATAGAGAATTAAAATGCATCATTCACTTCCCATTCTGCCAAATGTGTGACAACTTTGCTGCTATTGAATCAAATGCACTTTCACAATATACAAAGTACAAATGGTAAAGCACTTACGAATGTTCAGATAATGCCATAACCCCTCAAATAGAATCAATCAATTTTTCTTTTGCAATTAATTATTGTTATTGGACAGGGAAACAAATTCAATCAATCAACAAAATGCCATGCTTGATTGTCGATCAAACCATCACTGAATTGACCTGGAATAAACAAGCCCATGATTATTGATATGAATTATAACAAGACCATTAATCAACAGCGATGGCCAATCAATCAAGAAAATAAAACAAACAAGTAAGACCATGGTAACTTGAAAACATTATAATCACCTACTTGATCAACGATCCAATTACATACAGAACAATGTCTAAATCATACAAAATAGATTTTCCAAACAAGATTCATCATGTTCAATTACTATAAGCTCCAATGTTAAATAGAGTAAAACAAATCCCATCAGAACAATAATGTCTAAATTCTATAGACCTTTCTTGTTTAATAGAGTAAACCGAAATTCATCAGTCACTCTTCAAAGTCGAGCAAATATATCGGCTTAGTACATAATTTCTTACCCGACTCTTGTCATGAAATTAAACAACTGATCAAATCATGAATAATGAGTAATAAACACGCCACACAGTAATTTCAGTGTGATGAATGCAATAATCGAGATTAGCTCATCTATCAGAATTACACCCTACAGGTATTAACAATGCATGATCCAAATTCTGGCTATGAAAGAAAAAAAGGTGAGCCATTCATTTGGGGCCTTGACTGTATGACGGCTACTATTGTTGCAACAAATTGGTTAAGGGTTCCAAATCAACTTCTCCAATTATTGGTGCTGCAAAACGTCCTGTATGGGCAATTTCACGTTCTAATCATATATGTACTGTACAGCATAATATACAAAATATGATCAAAAGTGAAACACAATGAAAGTTAGGAATTAGGAGAAGTAAGATCGAACGGAATTAGGAGAAGTAAGATCGAACAGCAGGCGGAGCTCTGCCCTCTGCCATTGTAACACCAGAAACTTTGGTAATATGACAATTTTGAAACTGTTAATCCTACAATGTCAAGTTTCAGCAAATCTAGGCCACTGGCAAATTTTTCACAAGTTCCTTCATGCAAAGTTTCATGTTTCACAGTATGAGTTGGGAGTAAATGACCTCTAAAAAAGTCAGTATATCAAAAACTATTATTCCACTAAAAAGCAGGACCGTAATCTTTTTAGGATCAGAATGTCCTCTTTTAGTTTGAAATGTTCTGAAATTAGAGAATATACTATCTTGGTGATTTTATGTACCTTTAAGTAGGGCTCACACTATTTTATTTTTATTGAGAGTCCTGCCTAAAAAAAATTGGATTTATATTGAGCCCCAAATGTACCGGCCTCATGGTCGTGTTGAACCCTGCTTTTATTATTTGTTATATTGAAAGGCAAAATCATTCACAAGATTATGCAAATATAATGCAAGAAGGCAACTGGTACGTACCTCTGGTGTGTTTTTCTTGAATTCCCTGCTTTGTTCAACCAGCCTCTTTCTGGATGTATCACTCTCATCTTGTCTGTTGGCCAAGTCTGTCGCTGTGTCGTCTAGTTCTCTCTACACGATACAAAACAAAAAGAGAAAGAGAACTTTGTTAGATGTCATATCTAGTACTCAAACAGGATTCACAATCAAACCACACAGTCTATTAGCGATAACATCTAATTTTCTTCATAAAAATTAAGATTAGACAGTGGACAAAGAGTAAAAGATTGTTAAAATCTCAGAGATACATGTACATTACACGTACATGTACATTGTACATTGTAGATTGTAGATGTACATGTGCATTGTGCAAGTATTAAAGTCAGTATCAATTATCAAAGACTCGATACTAACAGACGTCTGTGACACAGGGGTACCAACGAATCTAAGTCCGTCATTTCCGGACCCCTCAATATTTTGATGTTGTACAAATGGCTCATGTACATGTATACAGACTCTAAAAAGTCAAATCTAGACCCCCTCTCACACAAATAATAGTGTGCAGCTCTGCAAATTCTTGTATTTTTCTTCAGCAGTTGTTGTTGTTGGTTAGTATTTTAGGGCAATTAGTCAATTGTAATTTTGACTTTAGTCACCAACAATTTTCTTTGGTAATAATACTGACTTCTTTCTTGCTTTTTGGTAGATATTTAGTTTTCTTTTAAATAATTAATATACTTTTTGTTTAAAGATAAAATAGAATTATGCCAGGTTACCGAGTCCTGGCAACCCTGCTTGTGTTTTGTACAAAGGTTTCTCAGAAACAAGTTTCTTATGTCTCTTGCAGTCAGCTGCCTGCAAGAAGGTCATTACAGCCCTCAACAATACATAATGTAGCTGTTACGGCTTTCTTGTGGGCGGTTGACGATTCGGTAGAACATCCTACGAAATACGGTGGTGTATTAAAGTGAAGAGTCACTTTTTTTCTTCTTCTGACATATACCGGATGAAATCACTCATGTAATTAATTATTAAACACAAAGACTACCACTTGATCCATAGCCCTACGAGCGCTCTTCTTCAATTACGTGGAAAGGAAAATGGGGGAAATCCCTGTTCTGTATAAACAGGTCATAACCCTAAGCTTCAAATTGTAAAAACAAGCCCCTTTTGTAAGCTCCATATCAGTCAACCGTGTACGTACAGGACTACCTCTCTATTGTTTTTATCCTAGATTGCACATATCCAATAACTTGGGATTTTTCCTATTTGAAACTGGGACACGCTTACAGGTGTACACTGTTGCCAATGATTTGGAATATTTTCTTAACTCTTTTTATAAAGTGATTGTGATATGATTCATTCTTCTCTGAATTTCATTGATCAAATTTCACTAATAATTTTTGTATTTTAATCAACAAAGTTTTGAGAAGATATCAAATTTATCAATTCATCTACGTGTATTAAGAATAAATCATATTTTCACAATCATTTCATGAAAAGAGGTAAGAAAATGATTCCAACTGTACTGGATACAGTGTATAATTTAGAGTACATACAATCATGACACAAATATAAACATACATATACATACAATCATCACCAGGATTTTACGTTAATCTAAAAGAGTGCTCCTAATAACTTTTAAAAAAACACACACAAAACACAAGAACGACCAAGATCAAGGGACCCAATGTGGGTATATTGCACTATGAACACCTATACATTATTGGATTGGTCCAAGATGTGAGCGCTGTAATTGGAGTAAGATTGATGGTGTGAAAAGTGCTGGAGGGGGCTCAGCTGTTCCGAGGCAGTAGCCATTTTTTAATCTCGATTATATACTGCTCTCGATTTATTGGACAGAGCACTCTACACAAACCTGAAATTGAGAAACACGAGTGTTCCAATGGGTTCACATGAGAGTAAATCTAGGTTTTTGTGTTTTTTGCATTGATCATACCTCCGATCTTGTGACTTGTTACAATAGATTTGTTGACGAAGATTAATGATCATTGCTACATTTTGATCAAGTCTAGTAGCTCGGAGATAGAATAATCAAACCCCACATGGAAGTTCCTGCCTAACATAGTTTCTTCAAAGATTCTTAAAGACTCACTTAGAGAATAAACCATTTCATTTTCTTTTCACCAAGAAACTAGGGCACAGTGTTGGGTGCATAATATGATTGTTGTATCATTTATGAAGGACAGCTGTTATCACCATTGCTGTTTTACGAGTGTGATGTGTACATTTTATCAATATACATGTATGCTGATCAAATGATTGTAGTTTGAATGTAACTCGAGCAATATATTCAAACGTCGCCAAAATTGCAAGTACATTAGTAAACTGATAATGGCAAAGTTCTATTCCAATCTTCAACCTTAAACTCCGCATTTCAGACAGTCTAGACGTAGCCCCCAGCCCAAAGTAACTTACACTTAAATCCTAAAACCCAATCGAAATAAAAACACCTGGAACCTACATATAAGGCCCGTCTTCATCAGCTTGAGTTTGCCAAATATCCTGCTATTTTCATACTTAGGATATTATCTCGAAGCTTGAAATTGCATCTTCCATCAGCTTCAAACTTGCTTGAAATTTGTTCAGTGGTCGGGCTGGTGAAAACAGACCCACAAATATGCGGGCTATATGAAAATTAGCCCAAGATATCTTGGGAAGATTTCCAGAACAAATAGCCTGCTATTTGCGTCTTCATCTGCCAAATAGCCTGAATTAGAAATAGTGGGCTATTTGGCAAACTTGAGCTAATGATGACGGGCCTATAGTGAGAAAGATACCTTTGGCAAATTAAAGACAAGCACAAATGTCACCAGAAATCATTACTGGTTGAGGTCACATCCATTGAACACATTTGTATGAATATTACACTTTATATTCAGTGAAAATATTCTGAAATTCATGGACATTGTATGATTGTTTGAACTTGATTCCTGTGACTATTTGCACATACCGGTACACCAAGGGGCCTACATCCACATACATCTATACAAAAAGTAGGTTACATGTACAGGTCAAACGCAAGTACACATATTATGCTACAGTATGGGTAGAGAGGGCCATTTGTTTGAAGTGTTTGATCGATTATAACATTGGCAGGTTTATCAAGCCGCACATGACGTCATAATCAATACCACATGACACTCATTGATTCAATGCATCAACTTCGTACACCATAATACCAGGCTCTGAACAGAAATTGTACAACATATGATCAGATCCAGCAACAACCGTTTCACGACCAACGTCTTCAAAAACAGAATTGATCAGTTTTATTCCCTACAGTCTTTGCAAGAACAGTAGGCCTGTCTCCATCAGCTCGAGACAGCCAATTATCCCGCTATTTGAACTATCCTGATCGCAAATTATCCAGTTAATTTGCATCTTCGTTAGCCCGAAGTTGAAATTAGCGGTATATTTGGTCGAGATGTTCATCACAAGATATATTGGTCTAGTTTGCAAAACATCCCGCTATTTGGCAAAATATCCCGCTATTTGTCCGGTGCGTCTTTACCAGTCCAAAGACTCTCCCAATGCGCGAACGCTGAGCAAAATATCTCAAACTGATTACTCAAGCTCGAGTTTCAAGTTTCGAGGTCAAGATTTGAGCTGATGACGACGCGATTTATAACTTCTGGATTATTTCCCAAATCAGAAATAGCGGGCTATTTGGCAATCTCGAGCTGATGAAAGACAGGCCTAGTGTGTACTTGTTTTAAAAGTGGACTATTGGGTCAGAAGTTTAACCTTGGGTTGGATGGTAAAGGGCCGTTTGTTTGCAGTGTTTGATTGATTATAATATTGACAAGTTGATCATGCTACTCACGCCACAATCAATACCACGAGCCGCACACTGATTAACATTACATCTTGTCCACCACAATAAAGTTATATGCATCTACAGTACATAACAATTAACAATGCCCTGTGAAAACATAATTATAAAATGCACTTTAACCCATTGAATACAATCTCAAATTCATTTGATACTCATACCGAATAGGTTTGATCCAAAATCCTCTCAGACCCGGCAATTAACAGGTTAAAGTGCCCTGGTCAGCTAAAAACTACTTGAAGGAATCTACTATTTGATATTACTTACTTATACTATTATTAATAACTGTATTTTAAAAACTTTTCACACACCTTTTCATAATGAAAAGGTTTTGGAAACCGTAATGGCAGCCTTTGTAAAAAGTAATGTCACAGGTACAAACAAATTGGGGGGGGGGGGGATTTGAAAAATTAAAACCATACATATTGTGTGGACTCACGATGATGAAATACTAAAGTACATGTATATGTAGTACACAAAGTAAGACGTTAGAGAAAGACTCGATTAAAACTAATAAAGATTCAGAAAATGATAATCCTTGCAGCATTTAAGATTTCACACATAAAACACATAGACTTACCCAGCTTCACTTCTACTCACACCTAGCAATATGTCCGTGCTCCCATCTTTGTGCATTATCCCCACCCCTCCAGGTCATCAAATGCAATCTGCTCATCAATTCACCCTCTCTGTCATGCCCCGTTCACACCGTCCAGACTTCTCTACCTATCAGTTCAAACTCTCTATCATGCCTGATTCACACCATCCAGACTTCTCTGCTCATCATCGGTTGATTCAGTTCACACTATCCTGTCTTTTGTGTTCATCAATCAATCTCTTGATCATGTCTAATTCCCATTATCCAATATCCTCTGCTCTTCAATTCATCCTCTCTATCATGCCCCATTCACACCGTCCAGACTTCTCTGCTCATCGGTTTATTCAGTTCACACTATCCTGTTTTTTGTGTTCATCAATCAATCTCTCTATCATGTCTCATTCACATTATCCAATATCCTCTGCTCATCAATTCATCCTATCTAGCATGCCCCATTCACACAATCCAGTCTTCTCTGCTCATCAGTTCACTCTCTCTATCATGCCTTTTTCACACTATAATGTATTTACTGTTCTTCAATTTGCCCTTCCTATTACAGTATGCGTTATATTCAAGATTTTAATTTGTATTGTATATCAATCACATTAAGTGATTTGTACATGCAAAGTCACTACTGAAAATACAGCCACATTAAAATAAAAATAAAAAAATTCT